AGCCCAAAATCAGACTACTGCTGTTCCCAAGAGGAATGTTACATCTTCCCAAATCTATTTCACCAGCTGCAACGGGCAAATCTCTGATTCACAGCCATGACTCAGATTTTAAGCAGGGAATGTTTTGTGGGTGTACATCTATTCTCTTCAATTTGTGGCTACAGGAAGGCTTAGATACACCATTACCAGCACACTAAAACATGTGCCAGCACACAACCACTTGGAGGAAGGGAGAATTTCACTTGGAAGCACTCAGACAAGGCTACAGATGAGGTTCACATGACTCCTTTCCATGGTTTCAGATGGCAGTCAGGCAGAACATACGGGCAAACCCGTAAACATCATTTTGAAAGCCCAATTTCCAAGTCTTTTTGAGTTTTGAGTCACCAGATGGTGAGATGACCTCTAAACTTAAATGCTCAAATATTCATTACTGCTATCTAGATTACTAGCTATCACTTAAGTCTATTATGAACATCAACCAGCACAGAGGATGCAGACTGCATACAGAATTCTGGCCACTGCTACTTTTCCTAGTGCACCGAGAAGCAGATGGTTCTTCAGTTACCAACCCACTGATGGGAACCCATACCCCCAGCCCCAGCTCCCACAGGAATATATTAATGACTAAATTACAGGTCCCTTGTCTAAATTACTGTTTTCTAGTCCCTCAAATACTGCAATGAAAAATACACAAAAAGCCATGGGAAGCAGGTAAGAGCTCATCCTTTTTGATTTACCTTCAAGCCAGTTTAATTTTGTACACACGCAAGAAAAGTGACAGGCCTTGCTTGCCTTATTGATTAAGACTGGGGCACTCTTCTGGTCAAGGAAAGAATGAGAACAGACTCAAAAAGGCCAAGTCTCATGTTTCTTGCATGTCCACTAGCATAACTGCTTGTGCCTCTCTTTAAAAGAGAACAAACCCTGAATAGAGCATGTGATGTGCTGGATTCTGTGCACTACATCAACTTCCAAAGCATAAGGATCAGAAGATGATTCGTACCCTTCCACTGATAGCCTCCTCTTGACCAGCTCTAGGCAGCACCTCACTCCATGTATCTTGTCACTCTGAAGGAGCCAAATGCCTGGCATTTCTTAAAATAAATCTCATAAAACATCCTGACCTGGCTTCAAATATACAGATGAGTACACAGTATCATGAGTTTCAGACATTTTTTTTATTCTCTCAAACTCAGCTTTTGATGAGCACAAATTATATTAAGCTAGTGACTGGCAAGAAGAAATCAAAATGGACCCATGAGTAGAGTTTTTAAGAAAACGGACCAAGTACATCTTATGAAACTCAACTGAAACTGTTCAATATAATGTGAAATAATAACAGAGGAATACTGCACTTTTAAACATATACACCTAGTAGGTTGCAGATTATATAACCAACCTTAAAAGACAGGCAACAGCAATCTGGCAAGTTTCAAGACTGCCCTCAAATCACTCCTCTTTACTAACTCTCGACAGCAACAGTGCTACTGTTCTCAGCTGCTGGAAAAAGCCAGTTTGACACACATCAGAAGCACCAGCTTCCACCAAAGGTGGTAATTACAGTGTTTGCCATTCAGTGATTATGTTAAGAACAAGGCCTCTTTCACATGAGAACATGCCAAACAATCTCCTTATGTATCCATTGCTTTTGTAAACACCAATATATCAAATGTTTGGTTGGATAAGAGTCAGACTGAAAGAATTAATGCCATGGCTGTATGGACATTGTCAAGTATTTTGTCCTATGTTACTTTCTGTAGTCCTAAAATACATAATTTCTGTTCATGCTATACAACTGCATCAAAGATTTGGAGAGCAAATTTTACAGAACACCAGTGTGTAATTTTATTTACTTCAGTGGAAGAACAGAAGAAAGGACACACAAAGCTAGTATAGCTCTTCTCTCTAAAATATCTGAGGTTTCCAGCTAGTCCAGAAGCTCTAGAAAAGGGTTCACATACAGCAAGTTTGCCAGTGGTTCAAGTGTACTTTGGACCTGATCCTGTAACAAACTAGTAATGCATGCACCCAGCACTGCACCCCAGCTGAGGAGGAAGAACTTATGATGTTGTTAATGCCAGCTGCTTGCTACTCCAGCCAAAACAACCAAATAAGTGAGTATTTCAGTTTTGCTTAACTTAAATCACTGCTCAGCTTTCAGTCACAGGGATCCTAACGAGTGTAGACATGAATGGTGGAAGTAATTCCCCAAATTACTAGAACTATTTTAGAAGTGACCAACAATACCTTAAGGCTTGCTCTGTACTACTGATGCTTAATCCTTCACTTCCCAGATGCATTTATAAGGCTGGGCTTACTGGGGAGACTAAGGGAGCTTTGATGTCTTGTGCTGTACTCCTGGTACAGCTGGTGGGAGCAGCACCAACATGACTGCCACATGCCAACCAACCAGCCTCTCATCTACCTCTCTGCTTTTGCTGCCTGTTATGTTCTTCCTTATTGATGCAATTGTGAATTCCACAGAATGGAGATAAGAACAAATGCACATCCAAGCACCTATATGTATATGGATATGTTTGGTTACTTTTAGCATCATATTTACTCACTCCCCTTGTTGGAAAATCCCAGTTCTACAGAGATTGGGCAACTGAAAGGCATTTCGAAAGATTTTATTCTGTTATCAGTCACATAGAAGGGTAAGACAGAAGAGATGTAAAATTCAGTGCCATTCTACTAGAAGGCAACTTATTTCCTGGTTACATTTCCTTATGTTTTTCAGCCTATTAGCTTTTGCCACACAATGCTGCTAATACTTCTAACACCAATCACCTATCATTTTACCTCATGCTGTCTTGCTACAATGCATCTTTCACTGTTCTAATTCCCCAAAATAGCTGGTCATTTTGCAAAGCCATAGTTTGAAACTTGTTTCTAATTCAATGTCTCTCTCAACAATGTCATTTCTATTCCATAGCCTTCCTAAGTCAGCCCACCTTATGTCAGAGTTTACATACAGATGTACAAGACTGTGTGAGTTTTCAGTCAGGTTTTAAGAATCCTTTACAAATCTATTTCTCAATCCCTCCTCTTTAAAACCACGCACATGTGTTTATCAAAGTCTTACACTGTTTTAAGCTTATTATACTCAAACACTTTTTTGACCCTTCTTCTTCTTTTCCCTGACAAAACTGAAAAATGCCGTTTTCTTACCAGCTCAGAAGCGCAGTACAACTTACTAAAAACAAGTAAAGACAAAGTCAGGTTTGTAATAAGGGAAAATAATCAGTGTAACAACAATTGTTTCTGGAGAGTATGTTTTCATATATCATGATATCTTAGATTAACTCTAAGTATTTACCATATTTGTAAAGCATGGACAGTCCTAAAATATCTGTCCTAGGGTACAAAGAATTCATATTTCTTATTAGAATTTGCTCAATATCAATACTATGCTGCAGTAGTTGTTTTTAAAATTAACTTTTTAAAGGATAAGGAATGTATAAACATAATTGAAAGATATCAGTTTATAAAATTTATTTCTCCACTGACCAATTTCTGTACTCTGTTTATTTGGAAAGATGATGTACTCATTGAAAGTAATGATACTCACTGCTTTGCAAACAGTTCATGTTATGGTGATTAAATACCTTTCTTAGCTCTGGCTGCCTTGGGTGAATGAACACACTAAAATGCAGGTACACTTTTCTTTCCTAGAACTAGACAAGAAACACCTTTTCAGTTAGTGTAAGAATGATCAGCAGCACTCAATACCAGAGGTAAAATGCATTTGATATCAGGCATGTCTGGGATGTATTAAACCATTATGTTTCCACTCAGCTGTATGGTTTCCTATACACTAGCAAGTCATACATGTCAATAGGCATACAACAAATAAACAAAAAACCCCAGTACAGTTATACCAGTTTCTTCCAGTAAAAAATTAAAACTGAATGACATTTTTGGCTATTTTATCTTTCTTACAATTTGCCCCCCTGTTAATACCCATTAGCACTTTATATTTTGAACCTACACTTGCCAAAGCTGTTGGTTGCCAGGCTGAAGCTCCACACTATAAACTGCATCCCTGTGTGCCACCAATTATTTCAGTGACATAACCCAGCTACAGGGTCTGAATTTGCGCTACTTTTTTCCTGAGGGGGAAGGTGTGATTTATAAAGTAAAATTCAATATGTTTCCCAGCTATAATAACACTTCCTAAGAGGCACTGAAAAGACTAAGTTTGTCTGTAATTATGAAAGACATCATCTGGGGATGCCAACTGCTCTGAAAGAGATGAATGTTTTTAACTCACCCAACATGTCTCGACTCAGCGGCATGCTTACCTAAACCCAAAATGATGGTTTAGGTATGCAAAAATTGACAGATAAGGTAATGTTAAAACCTTGCACGTTTGGGCTAGAGCAGTGAAGTTCTTGTGTTGCCTCTGAAATGATTCTGAAAATAAACTTCTTCAAACTCAGCCTTAAAATTTTGCTACTGGAATCTATATTTAAATAAAGCTTTTATTAACCCTTTTATGAACAAGTTTAAAATCTGTTGACTCAAATACAAGTTACAAGATAAACCACGTTTGCTTCCAGAAACTTTGGTGTCAGTGTTAGTTTGTTTTCTGCAGAAAGGATGTGCTAATTCAGCATTCAGGAAATATGTTTTCTTTTTTTTTCTTTTTTCTTTTTATTTGTGTTACGTAATAGAGTATTTTCCCTAGTTTTTGTCTGTCGATGTAATTAATGATTTTTTTTTATAAAGCACAGAAATGTTCCACACTGAAATAGATTAGAAGTCATTCCAGTCAAAATCTAAGCTGATGTGTCTCCTGTTTACTACAGCTGGTGACAGTATAAGCACCTCTGCTGTCTCCCATCACATAGAGACAACTCTAAACTAACACTTTAGACAATGATCTACAGCACCATATTACAATTAGTTAAAAAACCTCACTTCTTAAAGACATAAATCCACATAAAAAAATTTAGATCTTAGCATAGTGGGATAAAACACCAAAAATATGGAAGGAGTGTTTATTGCACTTTATTGTTTATTGCCCTTTATTCATCCTTAGCAAAATCCACATCAGAAAAACAGCATCACTTCTTGATGCATTTCCTAGTTAACCACAGAAAGTTTCCTATACCCTCTAGATAGTATATGAATGCAATATCATTTAAGAAATAAGAGACAGCAACAATCTGAGAGTTGGAGAGAAGCCTTTCATACAGTGGAGAACTAGAAAAAGAAAAAAAGAATAAAAAGAAAAACCACAAAAAAAGAGTAAAAAGCTCCCTTCAAAGGTTTGCTTTTCTTTAGAATTAGTTCTTGATATGTGGATTTTTAGTAGGTGATACTACACAATCTAAAAAAATACTGCAAATACTATATATCTACATATGTATTTTTATATGCACGCAAATAAATCTGGCAAAAATAGAACATTTAAACTTAATATTTATCCTGTCAATCATAATTGCAGGCATAGTCATGAGGAAACTCTTCTGCAGCAGGCATTCAATGTGTTCAAACTCTCAATGCTCTTAAATTCCATTCACTTCCAGTGGTAGAGTTAGTACCTTTTAAAATTATAGTTTGCTTGTTTAAGAATGAATAGTCACCATGCCAACCCCAATGAACAACACAGGACATGAAATAGCCTGTGGATTTCTTGTCTCACCCTAACAGCTGGAAATCTAATTGGGGCAGAGGAAAACAAAACATGATAAAAACAACCATAGGAGTCAGGAGGGAAAACAAGAAACAAGCAGTATGAGTTTATGTGGAAACAAACATAGACACCCATCCACGTACTCTCTATACAATACATTAGAGAAAAAATTTTTCAGTTACCAGCCTGCTATATGCTTTCCCATTAAGAAAGTGGTTTCACAAGCCACTGAACTCTATCTTTGATGTTCACGATAACTATTCCTAAGTGTTTGTGAACTACACCATTTTAATCCCCCCAAACATCAGTTTATTTTCTCTTGTAACGTATTCCTGCAGTGTGGGATTAACAGACACAGTAGAGGCCTTCAGGCACCGAGAATGTAAATTAGCCTAATCTCAAGAAAACAAGATGTGCACTCAAATCATAAATATTTTTTATAATCACATCAAACATGACATACCTGGTATTCAGTTTTATATAAATTAGTTGTTATGTCAGACCTACTTCTGAGGTTATCCAAAACCCAAACACGTAACATTATTTCTATTCTTCAGGCCTGAATAATATTTACAGACATTAATGCTATATCCAGCTGTACAATCATTCAAGACACATTATATAACTTTATTTTTTTATTTGACAAGCAGCAGTATCATGTTCGTCATTTTTTTTTACATTTTAATGTAGATACAATTATTAGGTTATCTGTCATATTACAATATTTAGGTTTTTTGTGTGATTTTTTTTTTACTTTGTCTTAAGATACATTAAAAAACATCAACTGCAAACGTGAAAGGGGAGGGGGAAAAAAAAAAGCATGGTACCCAACCAATTCTCCACATTTCAGCAATACTTCACTCATTCTTTTAGTAAAGTTTTAAGAAATGTCATAATGACATGAGCTTGAAATATCTATAGGCATTTTCATTGACGCTCATGACATGGCACTGGTGATGTTGTAAACAGCAGAAAAACAGGGGCTGCCAAGTGACCAATTATGGAGGCACAGGCCTGCCTCTTCCCACAGGAACACACCAAACAGTGACAGCAATGATCTCCTTACAATCATACCTGCAGGATAGCAACATCATGCTACATAACTGTATTCGTCTGCAGAGGCCTGGCTTCGCTCTATGTACTGTTTGTCTATCAGGACTTCAATACACTTCTTAATCATGCTGATACTTGGGTTAAACCTAGCTCTTGATTGGCTAATTACCTGCAAAAGAAAGACACAGTTTTTGTGTTATTTTTATTTTTCACAGTTATAAATGTCATCTAACTATTTGCTTAAGAAAATTCAGTACATTTTTCTTTTAAAGATGGGATTAAATAACCCTGGAATAGTTAATTTATAACAAATGAGAAAGTATCTCTATGTATAAGTGTCAGGACATTGAAACTGACTGGTCAGCTCACTGGTTACTTTGGCCACATGTTCCCCAGACCTCCTCATTCCTATCACTTGCTTCATTTGTCACAGTACAAATGAAGATAAATATTCATGTTAAAAATTCATCTAATACTAACACATTTCTTCACTACTATCACAGTGGAGTTCCCCTACCACAACTCTCCTTTCCTACACAGTTGGAGAAAATCAGGATGAACTTCTCCTTCTTTAGTCACTGAACATAGACCTACAATTTAGAGAGTTCCATCTGGCTATACTGGAACTTTTTAATACATGCAGTAAGAAGTTATTTATTGTAAAAACAAATTTATATTTGCATTGTGGAAGAAAGTGCCACTCCAGGCCAAACTTCAGATGTCTCTTAGAAGTTCTCAGTTTTGCCCATTCTCTTGTAAAGAAGGGGAAAAAATTGTGTGCACCAACAGAATGTACAAATCTATAAGTAGGAAATTTTTTCAAACAAAAGATCTTAATACTAAAGTGTCACAGTATATTTTTCCTGTAGTTTCTTATTTCTTCTGTAAAGAAAATAACTTTCATTTCAGCTGAATTTTCAGTTTTCTTTACAACTTCTCATGGCTGGCTTTGTCCGAGCTCCAGAGTTTGCTGAGGCCCTCTGTGAGCCACCAGAACTCTCCAGGTGGAACTCACCCAGCAAAGCAAACAGAAACCTCAAAAGAGTGAGTTTTGTTGGGCTAACAGCCAAGGGTCTGGTATGTTCCACAGCAGCACAAGTGAGGAGAAACTGGGTGCTAACAAGCTGATAGGTCTGCTCAGATTTCACCCAACTTGGCCCTCCACTGAGGCTGATTGTCATCACCACACTTCATGTATTTACTTAAGACAGAGAAAACGAAAGAGAGAATTTTGTATTGGTATGTGTTTTCCTGTAGTTGTTGCCTTTTTAAATCAAAGATAGTACAAGTAAGAAGGATAAACAGAACTATCTGATGGCCAGAATAAAAAATTTTCGGGAATGACTGCTGTGATATCTCCCCTCCACTATTCTTCCAATCTTACTCATTTTATAGGAAAAGCTACCTCGCCCTGCAGGGGACTGCAGCTGAGCTAGAATTGAAATTATCAGGGCATATCTAACACAATTAACAGTTCCACAAAGACCACAGGCTGACATATACAGGTCTATCAAGGGTCTGGAGTGTTTTTTGTACACCTTAAACTAAATGCAATGTGTGGTCCTGTAGTGTTAGAATCAGAGATAACTACATTCGGGTTAGGAGCCTGCCCTTAGAGCTAAGAAAAAAATGAGATGAGAAAATATAAACTATTCATAGTAAACAGACTCCTTTCAGAAATATTCCTTCTTACTCAGGAAGTCAAACAGCACATTTTAATTGATACATTATATATAATAATATAAACAGCATGATAAAACTAACAATAGCAGCAGAATCAGAATCAGTAACAATATCACAACTATACTCTCTACTTAGTTTTTAACTGAGTAACCATGAAAATATCCACCTTTTTTGCAAGGTTGAAGAAAAAGCTCCTAGTGTTACTATTCTGCAAGAGCCCTGCAAGAGCAAAACACAGCAGGGCATATAAGTGGCCCTTCTATTACACAAAGGAAGAAGCAACCAGAAAGAATTTGTTTACAAAACATAAAAATTTGTAATCTATTTCATTCTTATAAACTGGTGTCAGGCAAAGTACATTTCAAGATATTTTTCTAATAATTTAACAGTGGGCTGAAGAAAGTATTCTCAAAGATGAAAGAGCTTGCCTATAATTTTCTAGTTTTAATTGCAAATTCTTACATGGTTTCATAATAATTGCATGGATGATTCAAATAATGGGAAACCAGAAAAACAAAGATTCTGAGAAAAATCAGGACTTATGCTGCCTCATCTTTTAGATATTCAAAATCAGATTTCTCAAATTAAGCTTGCCTTCAGACTATTCATGTATTAACACTTCTTCAATACCCAAAACCCTTAAGAGGTTGCACACTGCATCTTCTGGCCTTACAAACTCCCTGTTGCTCCTAGGTTATTTTTAAGAAATAAAAATTAAGGGGTGGGTGTGGTAAACTGTTTCCTCCATCACCACAAATTGCTCAATGTCTCTCCACCTCTATGCTCAAAATGGTTGAATAAAACAGGCATCTCAATTCCCCCTCCCACCAGTCTTCTCTGAGGCCATCCAGCAAGGCTCAGAGATGCAAGAATGAACTGAACTAAAGAAAGAGCTTTGGAAGGTTGAGAAAAGTAAAACTGGCAACTTCCAACTGGTTGGAAGAAGCAAATGTTAGGCTGGAATGAGAAATACAATTAGGCAGGCAACCAGCAGATGGGAAAGTGGGAGAAATACTAAAGAAATAGCACTTCCTTCCAAGCCAGCCTGTGACAGTTCACAGATCATTAATCTGGAATTTAAAAAATCTAGAGAACTGTACTGCCTTGTGGAAAAGGGAGAAGAAAAAGTGCATGTCTCCATACTCAGACAACTTTTAAAATTTAAACCATGAGTTATAATAAAATAATGATTAGAGTACAGAGTTGACTAAATGCTTCTGTGGAAATTCCATACTAGAATATCCCTATTCAGGTTTTCTGAACAGCTCTGGAAATGATTTTTATAGGATACAACATATCTTAGCTGGCATAGAACCAGCTAACCGGAAAGAGAAAGAACTTAATGCTTTGGTGCTAAGACACATTTATGAGATTGAGGGATCCCCGCTAGTGCTCCAGTACTGCAGTTCAAAACAGACTCCAGGGAAATTCTCACTAATTTCACTGAAGTACTGGTTTCCACATGGTTGAGTTTTGTAGTCTGATGTTCTACCCTATTATCCTGAAGATTTGCATGAAATCAAGCTCAAGGACTTTCTCTTACCTCCTGAATAAGAGTGTTATGTCGCAGCACTTTACGTGCCTTCATGATACGGACTATAGCAGCTTGAAGATACATTTTCCTGTCTTCATCTACAGCACTTCGGGTCTGCTCCATCTCCTGCCATACAGGAACAACAGTAATGTTCAAAATACAATAAGACAAATAAAGACTGCATATAAGTATATTGGATCTATACTTTTTACTTTACTAAAAGTGGTGAACTAATACAAAAATGCAGGTGTAGTTCAATTCCAGTAAAAGTACGTCCGTAAATCAAGGCTATCAGGTTTCATGAAAGTCAGCAGAAAGGTAGGAGAGAGGCATCTAAACCGACATTTTTGCTAGGAAGAAAAGCAAGCAAGAATTGACTATAATGTACTGAGTTTGGCAGCACATACCTATCTTGTACAAAATCCTGTGTCTTAGGAGATACACCGAGAACATGGATTAACAACAGAGGAGTTGATTTTAGTTGCCAAAGGACATAAAACCATAGGAAAATACTTGATTGGTTCTGCTGTTCTTGCAGTAAGTTGCTTTTATAAACACCACCAACAAAAAAGTCTCATGATATAGACTAAACATCAATACCATTTGGTATTACCATTTTGTTTCTCTTTTTCTTCTACTTGTTCCCTATTTCATCTTCTCTTGCCTATATTTTAAGTACAAAAAATTGCATTGCTTAAGCTTTAAATCTATAAAATTTCTTTTGTAAATCTTATGGAATCTGGTATCTGCTTACACAAACTAACAAAGTAAATTCCATTTTAGAAAAATAAGCTTTCTAAGCTATTCAGGCTAGAAACACTAAAGAATACTTGCCTGTGGCGTGTCTTTCTGCATTGATGTGGTAATTTTAAACTTTGTTCGTTTACTGCTGAAGTTCATATTTAATGAAAACGTAGACTCTGTCTCTATATCTTCCTGCAATAGAGAATAATTTTTAAAAATCAGGAATGGAACCAGAAAATAGCAACAATTTACTTTGAAAAGTCACAGTTAATTTGAAAAGTCTTACATACACAGAAAAAAATTCAGATTTGTAGGTGGAAATTCTAAAATGCCACTTGAACCAGGTCAATTTTTAAAGCTAGTTTAACTGACCTAGAAATCAAATCTATTTCAAAAAACACTATTGAGGAACTCTGCCATACAATAATTTAGTTAGCAAGAGATTTATCTTTTAATACTTTGATAGCTTATCTTAGTTGCAAACACTCTACACTTAAAGTCATTTTCTTCCTGCAAATAAAGTGGGATTTGCATTTACCTATGACAGGACCTCAAAGGGGAGCTGCTGCTTTCATAATTTTTACAAATGTCGTCTTCCAGAATTTAAGGAAAAGCGTCTAAACATTTTGTAATGTTATAGCAGAAATAGCTGACAGACTGCAACTTCTACAATGCACATCTGGCTGCAGATTTTGAATTCTTTCCTGTCAGAATCTCAATTATTTTCCACATATATATGTGTGTGTATAAAATAATAATAATAATAATAATAATAATAATAATAATAATAATAATAATAATAATAATAATAATAACAACAATAATTATTATTATTATTATTATTATTATTATTATTATTATTATTATTATTATTATTATTATTATTATTATTATTTCTTCTTCATTTTTTTTCCCCTACACTAAAAACACCTTTACATTCAACACAGCATGACTGGACATATCTCTGCAGTTTCCAGGCAAGAGTCTGTACAAGTATTACCAATTTCCAACAGAATAAAGTTACTGGGATTCTGAGACCTTGGAATCTTGCCAAACTGTCTAAAACAAAAGCATTTTAGTAAAAACAGAAAATATTTATCTAAATATGCACTCAAATCGATATTAATTCCAATTTTATATCTTGCAACAAATAGTCTTTGTTGCAATATATATATATCAAAACCAGGATACCGGGCATAGTATAGAAAATACAATATGAAAGGGGAAAGACCAAGAGCTTTGAAAATAATAAGCTAACAAAAAATAGGCTAGCATTAAATTTTTGCATTATTCTGCTGACATGGTTGAATATAAACCAAAATAAATTGTGTATTGAGCATGCACTCAAAAAGTATGATTCTAATGAAACAATGAAGATTTTGAAATTAAACTTCTCATGCTCTTTCCCCCACATCTATTCAAAAATGAACAAACAAGCAAAAGCAAACTACAACATTTACTACACTGTATTTTTCTGTTTGGCTCAGATACAGGTAAAGGGAAGTTTATGTATTGAATTCCACTGCTTAAACCACTAAAGCTCACTTGTTTATTTAATAAGGAAGTAGATAGACTGTCCACAGATCTGTTATCACATTGCTGGATGGAGTGCAAAGAAAACAGAAATAGTAAAGACACTTGAATACAGTGTCTGAAAGGTAAAGAACTGGAAAATGCAGTGGTAAACATTAAAAAGTAAAAGGGGTGGAAAGCTGTATTATTCCTTCTTCTATGACATAAGTTTTAAGAAACTGGGTGAACCTTATACAATGGACAGAAAGCAATATAAAGCCTTTAAATAACAGGCAATGTTCTAAGATTATTAAAGGTCTCACTGTTTCTTGTAATAGCTCCCAGTGTTTTATTTGACCCATGGTTTAACAGACATCTTCCCAGCAATTGTTCCAACCTGAGCTCATTTCTAGATACTGGAAGCAAGTCCTATGCTTCAGCCAAGAACCAAATCCTCCTTGTGATCTCACTTTCCATTTTCTAAAATTTTCCTGGTTAAAAACAAAAGCAGCTGTCAGAGCAGCTTTGGATTTCTTCTTGTAATCGAATTGAACAGCTTATGTCAGTTTGTTCTGTCTGATACTGTCTGCACAGTGGGCTTTCTGGGTGAGCTGGATGCACATGTTGTGTCTGTATGGGATGCACAGGCTCTTCTGCAGTATTTTTTATTTAACAGAGTAAAGTATTTTCCCTTTGCTGTACTGGAAAAAAGGTTTCACAAAGGCTATACAGAAGGATGAGAGTCAGAAAAAGAAGTATCAACCATTGCCTTAATGAAAAACAAAGCTCAGATATTACTGGAATTCCAAGAAACTCATGGAAAGACAAGTCTGGCAAATTGCAGCAAAAATCCTCTCCCAGAAAGTCTCCTTGCTCTCCTTCTTGCTCCTGTAATCTATCAGCAAGGAAGAACAGGGTTGCTCTTTTTTTCATTCTCTTAATACCACAACTATTATTTTAAGATCATTGTAAAACTCTGGTTTACTGCTTGGGCTCCTTCCCATGATTCAGTACAACTCTGAAAGCAAGGCAACAGAAATAATAAAGAGTCCCTGCATTATTACCTTTTCATGCTGCTATAGGCATAGAAAGCCTATATAACAGACACTCTACTTCCTCCTGACTCTTTCCTTATAAGTAGAGATTTACAAATTTTTACAAGGGTCAAAAATAAACAAAAATAAAATTAAACAATTGATATTTTAAAAAAGTCCTCAACAAATAACAGAATGACAAGACTGAAAACATGAAACTTTTTAATATCATTATGGCATACCTTGTCTGAGTCATGGTTGATCATTTTGACATCAAGCAAAGATTTGATGGTTTTTGTCAACTCCTTCTCATTCATTTGTGTACTGTCCTGAAGCTCCTTGTAACTGACAGTCTCACTGTTGTTGAAGGCAAGCAACACTGCCATTTGGTATGTTGTGACCATGGCTACATAAGGTTTGCACAAATAATTCATTTTTACTTCACCTGTAATGACACAAGTAGTATTTTATAAACTGATGAAAGGTGCTGAAAAGTCCTCTGAAGCCTGACTACCAGAGCTCCTAAAATATTTCCAGACATTCAACTCAAGTTTGTATTTAACACTTGAAATGGAACAATGACAACTGATGCTGTGAATTTACACATATACAGCGTGGCCTACAACAACCACCCCAGCCCCATTAACTATGAATACTAGACAAATACTGCAATATAACAATTAATAATAATAATAATAATAATAATAATAATAATAATAATAATAGCAATTCCAAGTAGCCTCAACACATTGCAATGCATAAACTTCAATTAACAGCTTACACAGAATCTCAGAATAGTGATTAATGAAGAAGTTGATAAAAGGAAAGATTTAAAAACAAAGTAAAATACTTGTCCATGAGAAAAATTTCAAATTCTTACATTTTTAAATTCCCATGAAAAACAAAAAGCACTGAAGAAATCTACCTGAAAGCAGATTTAGATTTTCTGTGTGAAGCTGAGTGTGAGTTAACAGCAACCTTCTTTTAGCAGAACTAGATTTTCATTATATTACATTGTTGTGGGCTATGGTTTTCATCTCCATGTGATAAGTTGCAGTGCTCAGTTGTTAAAGCCTGAGACTGAAAGCACTTAAAATAAAACATGATTGACTGGCATTTACTAAAATAAATACTTAATAATAATAATAAATACTAAATACTTAGAAGTATGTATTTATATAGTTACTCACATACCTGAGTAAAATAGTATAATATGCATTCTTAAAATTATTTAGTATTTATGTAAGGAACAGCTATACTACACAAACAATTCCAGGACAACTGTTATTAACTCAGCAGTTCTGCAGTGCTTTTCTGCAGTTAAGTACAACTCTAGTTTTACTTGGATTTAATAAACCACAAGTTTACAAGGCATAGATTTTGGAAATTCTAAGTATTAAATATAAATTTATAACACAAAATACATCCATTGACTTTATATGCAAAATAATGTTCCAACTCCCCATGTTTTTGTAATTTGAAAATAACTTTTAGCAAGTAACTGTTAGATCATAAATTTAGCAAAACACTTATTTTTACCTGTACAAAGATAATGTAACCAAGTAAGCTTTCTTCCACTAAAATGCTGACTGTAAAATAATTCAAACTGCAAAACAAAATGAACATCAGTTAGTCACACATATAACTACTCACAACAGTTTATCATCACCCTACCACCCTAATGAAGAAATACTGGTTTTATGTCCATCACACTGGATGAAAACATTGCAGATCCATTCACGACAGCCTTTTCCTTTAGAAGATGAGTGATGACTTAATCTTAATTTAAGGTCTAACTCTGGTAATGAGAAGAACTTCAGCAGATTCAGAGAACCTTTTCCTAAAATGAGATCAAACACCCTAAACCCCACCATGCCAGCACTGTGTACACACATCAATTTGGCTTATTCTGATTTGGTCTGGAAACTCTCATTAACGTTGAAGGAGAACATAAAAACAGGGAATTTTGATCTCTTTAGGAATTAGGTGTTCCTCCACCCACAAACTTGCACAGTATGAAAAACAGTATTTGTACACTACTCAGATAAACATGTATTTACAGGAAGCTTCAGCAATCTCAGAAAAAGCTGCTGAAGAGGTTGCCCAGTTACACAAGTACTCGTATACTTCAGAGTGCAATTGCAACACTTTTCTTTCTAAATTCTTGCCAGAATCCTAAGAGAACTCTCTCCATGGGTCAAATTATCAAACTGGACAGTAAATAAAGACATTGTAAGACAATTTTCAAAGACTCCCCCTCAAGGGCATGTTCTCTTTCTTTAGGGAATTCTAATTTAAAGCACTGACCTCTACCTAGGTGACACACAAATATGTTTGCTCCTTTAAAATAGCAAAATGAAATTACAGTGAATTTAGGCAAGCAACCCAGATTCTGAGCTGCTTCTGATACACAATTCTGTACCATTTTTCCAAATGAGGAACAATTGACAATACTCCTATTTTAACCCACAAAGACAGGAAAATCTCATTAGACCTGGTGATCCTGTAGTCTGGGTCAGAAACTATTATATAGCTAAAGCCAAGTGCCACTTAAATGGAAATTAACGCTGAGTAAGTAGTCTGAATATTAAGCATAATTACAAGAAAAAGATCCTTCACCACAGAAAAAAGACATTTGCCATTATAACTAACATCAAATAATAATTTAAAGCATAAAATCTGCTATAAAAATCTCTTACGTCCAATAATGCAAAATTTGTATTGCCTAAATTGTACTTCACCATCAAATACACCTTAGCAAAAGTCAACACAAATATTTTGATTTTCAACAGACATTGTACAGGTAACATTTGGGATACAGTAATATAATCAAAAGCAAGAAAATACCTCTACAAAGCAGAAATAATCACATAAGAAGAAAATATTTGGCTAAAGCAAAACCTTTACTGCTTTGAAAAAATCATAAAATGAGTTTTAGAGACGTTTGCACGAAGCTTGACTTTGAACAGCTTATATGAAACACGGAACAAGAAACCTCTATTTGCATCTTAGTCTGCTATTAAGACTGTTTAGATTCAATATTAGAAACAGAATCTTCTTTTATCTAAATATTAAGAGTTGGTTTTGAAGCAAAGAACTAACCTAGTTAATTTGATTGCATTTATTAGCATCTCTCTCAGCAATCACAAAGTGTAAAAGAGAGATGTGAAAAAGCTACACAAATATATACTTAAATTCAGTAAGGTATTTGAGTGACCCTTCCATATTGCATATGGACTGGAAACATGATAGCCATAATTTACAATCAAAATGAAGTAGCTCAAGTTTTTCTCTGTTAGAGTGATATTTTTTCTTTTGGAGTTATTTTACATTTTCCACATGTTTATAGGAAGCCTCCTACTAACCTACCATCTGTACACTTTTTTCCAGTTCCTGAGGAATTGCAAATGTAGAAGAAGGAGCCTGAGTCAGAGGCCATGCACCAGCCTAAAAGTATTGGGGAAAATAAAAGCATTAACATTTTCACACAACATATTAAGAAAAAAAAATCCAAACACCTTTAAGTGGATGTATAGTGTACAAAGACAATCAATTCACTCAGGAAGTTTTACTGATCACTTTTTACTGCACCTTCTGCCCACCCCACCAAGGTATCAATTGAGACTGCAATTTTATATCATTATTGTTTAGGGACCTAGTGGGTTGATTTTACAAAGAAACACTAGGAAAAAATAATTCCACAATGATCACAGACTATCAGCTTCCATATAAAGTAGTATTCATAATTTAAAAAAATGTATATTTGTTATCAGAACATAAAAAATAAGTACAAATAACTCAGCAGCAATAAACATACATTAGTACCTGTAGAACATATATCTGAAAACTAATTCCCAAATCAATGATTGTGTCCTGGTTTTTGATAAAGTTGTTGAATTTATTGTTGAGATCAGCACTAACACTCATGTCTGTATACATTCGATGGAGCTTGCTGGTAAATTCATAACCACAGGCTTGCTGAGAAGAAAAATTGTAACAGGTTTCAAAGTGAAAACAGTACTCATCACATAAATTATGCTCCCTCACTAATACAATATGAAAATCTAATCAGCAGAAGTGTTGTTTTATTTATAGAAAACACTAGTTACAATAAAAGACAAACACTGTAAAATAAAATTATATTTATCTTAGTTTCACCTTATATACACTTATTTCTTTGAAAAATATTGTTTTATAAAATCAAAAGATAGACGTTTAAGAAAGACCTTAGTACTTTTTGAATGTTAACATGAATGACTTGAACACAGTTAATAAAATTATCCAAAACCTCAGAAAAATCTCAAATGCCTAGGTGATATTCAGCCTTTTATCTTTCATAGACTACCAAAACACTAGCTTTTACTTTCAGCTGTTGGAAACAGATTTACCAATTGCTAAGTTACCTCTGGCACCCTCTGCTGCTCCCTCTCAACACTACATACTCCTACATTTGTTTCTTCTGCGTTAGAAGAGCATTTCCTTACCTTTAGTTTATTTATCATTGCTTCTTCAGAATCCATAGACATAGACAAACCATGAATTAATCTTTTTGCCAACATTCTGGCATAGAACTGCATTAAAACAGAGATGAGGATTTTAAGAAGCATAACCACATTCTTCAAGTAGGCTTTAAATGTGACATTTTAACCATTATTGAAGAGGAAAAGTTACCTTTTGGAATACATCTTTGTCATCAATGTACTTGAAAACAGTAATGAAACTTGTAAGCTTGTCTTCTACTTCATTCTCTGTCATTCCTTTTGCTGATTTCTTTAACAAGTTGTCACAGTATTTGGCCAGCTCAAATTAAAAAAAGAAAAATCAAACCCAAAACTACTTGTCAAGATTGAGAACAAATGTATGCCAAAGTATTTCCAGATTTCTACAATAGCTCAAACACAAAATAAGTCACAGTCTACTGTCTCACATTCTATACAAAGGCTGATTCATGCGCAAACGATACATTCTACACCCACAGAAAATACAATCTATAACAAAAATTAGAACCATAGCAATTCTGCACACTCACAAAGGTGTGTGCAGCTTAAGCTGTTACTACTAAAATACACACCTGAGTGTGACCCAGTGTGAGAGCTGGATATGCACTTGAAGGACCCTACTGCAATTCATATGATGATTATATACAAGAATTACTTTCTGTGTGCATCACTTACCAACTCAGGTGCTTTGCAGATCGATTTGGGCTCCCGATAATTAACTACTGATGTCAAAGCCTACATAAAACATAGAGCAAAGAGAGAAGTTGCCAATGACTTAAACTTTTTTCTTTTATGAAATTTGAAGAAATCAAAAAAATCCTCAGGGCAAAGACCATCTGAGATCCTATAAAACTGAACTACACAAAAGGGGGTAAATAAAGAAACAACTCATAAAAAGGTTAAATTACTGCTTTATGAGAATTTGCTTGTTAAACATTTTCAAGTTGAAAATTAAGTAAAAGGAGAAAGAGTAGTAGAAGAAAAATAATTACAGAAAACCAAATAATAAATTAAGTTCTGATTAGAAACTTCACAAAAGTATTATGATTTTGGCATACAGCAATATTATGGTCCAAAAGAATGGATGGAAAGAAACTTAGGAATAAGTGCAGATAAAGTAGATGTGAGCAGCAGCACATCAACAGCATGTATGTTCAGCTGAAAAACTTATATGATGTGTTCACAACAGTAAGAAACCAAAGCACTTTTGGTTGTTGGATTTTTTCATACACTAAAAAGGAGAAAAATATATCAGTGAAAGTGGAAATTTGAAGTAGGAGAATACAAACAATATGCTGGCTGAAGAAAACCTGAGCATGATGAAAAAGCAAAGAGATAATGGTAGCTTAGAAGTGGAAAAAAGATTATCAGAATAATGGAGTTTCTAAACTACATGTCACATTTAAATTAGTGTTGTAAACTAATAGTGAATCAAAAATACTGCATGACCATAGATCCTAGGAATTATAGTTCCTCTGAAGAAGGAAAATATTATTGTTATTATTATAAAGACAAAATGACAAGGAACTCTTCTGTACAACACCTCAAGATTGCAAAATTTGCTAACAGGTCTCAGAATTCCTCTGAGAAAAGAATGCACAATTTGACAAGAAATAGGAAACTCTTTAAAGCTTGGAGCAGTCTTTTGCAATAGTGCTGGAGGCAGCAATAGTGATTTTGATATCCACCATCAAAAATTAACAGCAAATCAATTTTTTAAGTATTTCCTGTAAGAAAGATCAATGAAGTGAAGAACTGACGTATTTAAGAAAAAGTGCATTGCCTATGTGCCAGCAAATGAAATTGTCAGTCTCATGTTACTCCACCTTCTGGTACATGACATTAATTGCAAGAGAGAGAGAAATGTATTTGGCATTGAAGTATTTGTTTTAAAATGCTAAATAATTATTTCATCAATATCACAAATACAGTTGGGTAATTACTGTTGGTACCATCACTGGTACCTTCTCCATTATTCCTTTTCAGATTAACCTTGACTGATAATTGTCAAAGCTTAGACTCTGACATTAATTACAAACTGCAACTACTGCATACACCACAAAAGAGCAATGAACTCTATGTGTGTATCCTCTGAGAGAAAATTAAAGAAAATAGATTTATTAGTTATAATTAATAATTATTAGTATTAACATTTATTATAATTATAACTGTTATCTTGAATACCTGCATGGCTATGCATTTCAAATAAAACAGCAGCAAGCCTCTTTCCCTATATTTATTATTTAAATTCAAATGCAGCTCTCTCCTGGAAAAAATTACCTATTGTGGCAGTGATTGAAGTAATGTAAGTTTCCAGATATTCTTTGCAGTCAACTTGAAAAATCTAAGCAAAAATTCTGTGGAAGTAATACTAAGAGGATTCAGAGATAAACATTATCTCAGCAAGCAAATTCAAGTTCAAATGCATGCAGGAATTACCAAACCTCCCAGACCCCACCAGTTGCCTATATATTATCTGCATTTATTATTGCACTGAATGGATCAGCACCATTTTGTGTTTTGAAATATGATAAAAATAAAGGTCTTCTTTCAGAAAACAAGTATTAAAATGGTCTTTAATTTATCTTTTCCCTTACACTGGATTGTCTTTTGCTCCATTGCATTTCTAAACTAGAAAGACTGCATATGAACTATCATTGACCATATGTGTTGATGCTGTGAAGAGTTTTGGTGAGCCTGAATCAAGTCCTCGATTTTGTTTTCCAATGCTTTGTTTACTTAAGTAAAAATTACCTTGTCAAGGGCACTCATGAAGTGCTGATCACCATTCAAAACAGTGTTGATCAGTTGAACAAATTTACTATGTACTTCCAAAACTGACTCCACAAACTGAGTTGGCATCTAAAGAGGGTAGATACAACAGAAAGCAAGTTAGCAAGAAAAGTACTAGTATCTAAAACAGACATATCTACATTAGTTATAGATTTTTTACTAATTACTCTTTTTTGTGAAAGTTAATACTACAGTGATTTTTGAGAGGATGGGTTCTGATGTACTCTCACATTATGATGCTACAGCATGCCTTGGAAATAAAAAGTCTAAGCTACATTTACAGTCATGCTATCCAACCTAGATTTGAGTCTTTACTGCTCTCATGCTATCTAATTTTTCCCTAAAATCCTTTATTTATTAGCCTTTTCAAAAATCATTAATGCTAACACAAATACAGCAATCAAGCAACTGATAAACTACTGCTTCTCCTACACAGTAACTTCAGACACAGAAAATCTGAATGATCCCTTTACATTCGCCTACATAGGGCAGTTACCAATTGAATTTCATGCCCTATATTCCAGCATCATATTCTGCATAGAAATGACTGACATGAGCTGGAGGAGTCCCTACACAGACAAGCTGGCAGGCACAAGTGCAATGCTGTGAAAGGCTCTGTAGCATAACTCCCCAAGTACTATCTCAGGCTACACATAAAAATGTTTCAAAGTTTTTTTCAAATGTTTATACAACAGAACAAGTATTTCACACTTTGAAATTATCTACATAAGGCTGTGAATTGTCACCACTCTCATGGGTCTGTATTTATTTCTCTGTGAGGACACTATTAGTTTGAAAGAATAAGTTCAATAAACCTAAAAATAATTGGAAAGCAAACTGTACTACTAAAGACTTCAGTCCCTTTTCAGTATGCACACTGAAGTCACAGTGTAGTCACAGAATAGTAAGCATCCCTGTGCAGTCAGTACAGAGTGAATGTAAAACAGCTTGTGTTTATATATTGTTATAGACAGAAACACTGGATAGCTAAAGTCACCATCCTAAAGTGAGCACAGATCTAGACAGCAAGATCTGTGCTTGTACACATGCAAAAATACAATGTCAAATGAAAGCTTGTAGTTTGAACAGCAATGCTGGAGAAACAAAAATGGAATTGAGTAATTTAAACAGACATAAATGGAAAAAAAAAGTTTAATACACATTAATAAAATAAATAAGAATATTTGCAGAAATTGCATGACCATATAAAACAATATGATTACAAAGCTATTAAGAAAACGACCAGACTGATATCAGGACAGGATGTCAGGTCTTTACAAAATGGAATCACTGGCTTCTAATATATCAGAACAGCAAATGCCACTGACTTAAGAGAAATTCTGAAAAAAAAAAAAAAAAATGCATACATGGAACAAAAGGACCTATTTGCCCTGGCAGTATTAAGCAAACAACAATGAGAAATATCTAGCTGCAGTTGTTTCTGGTTAGATATCAGCAATTACAACAATCAGTACTCAGGACAGATAATTGGCAGAGCTAACCATGCTGATGAGAAGTTACAACTTATCCATCGTGTTTCAAACCAATTTTATATAAGCAAAATTAAAAAACAAAAAACAACTAAGAGGAAAAGGGCAAACACTCAATCAAGAATGTTAATCACACAGTCATTTCAGTTGCCTGAGGAAACTCACATTTTCCTGAGAAAGATTGCTGGTTGCTCTAAGGCCCTCATCATGGATATGGTTTTGTAGTTCCTGAATCATATGAGGTAAACCACTTGACACAGCACGAAGTAGAGTATACATATTTGCCATGTCTGTAACAGAGATACATTTTTATAGAGTACACTTAGAAACATTAAAAATTAATACTTAATATAGTATCATAATATCCAACAGAACTTTTTAAAGACTGAAACAAGACTAACTGTTTTGAAAGAAAAAATTAACATACACAGGATCACTGACAAAAGAAAAAAGGAAAGAGTAGGCCTATTATCAGTGTTTACTGAGTCCTGCCATTGTGACCACCTCACCCTTACAATGCAACTTTTTTAGGAGAGACTCTAAGAAGACAGCTGGGCTAGTGCGGAGAAATAGTGTGCCAGTTTATTTTAAACCCTGGTCTTCCTTAATATCCCTTAGCAGCAGCTGACTAAAATCAGTTTACATAGCTTCTTGACTTTTTATTTGCCTCCAGTGGTAGCTTGAAATTTTTCTCAGGTGAGAAAAGCTCTTAAATAAGCAACTGCTATTTTTATTGTATTTTGCATCTCCACACCCCCAAAAAGAAACCAAACAAAACAGATCCAAACTCTAATCAAACTTGAAAGATTGCCTGGAAACTGAACAGACCATTATTAAATACAAATTGAGTTTGACTGTGAAAAATAATTTGTTTCACATAAGAGATACCATCTTTCATGTAAGAGGCATGTAGTCACTGGGAAGCACGTTTTTTTTTTTTAGTCAGGTAGGGAATATAACTACAAGAGCATCTCCTTCTATAAAAAAGATTTGGGATGAGAGGTCACAAAAGATTCAGAACGATAAAAAGAGGCTATGAAAAGGTGTCAAAATATTTTATAAGCCTGACCTGTTAAGTGATGATGAAGAAATCTGTTAAGACAGAGCCATTGGGTTTACAAAGGAAGCATAAAATATAATCAATTCTACAGGACATGGGACTTCAGTGTGTTTTTAAGATGACTAGGACAAGGAAAGAGCATTAGCTGAAAGAAGGATTGTTAACAATAAAAAGAAGGTTTTGAATTAGTTACATGCTAAAAGAGAAATGTCATTCAGGATTTAATGGGGATTTCTAGATTAGTAACATTAGTTGAAAATGCTCATATGCACAGTAGGGTATTGAAAAAAGAGGAAATTGCAATGCTAAGTGAATAAAACAGAAAACCATTTCAGTCTTTTTGTGACCAGTGGGACTTACCACTTCTTTTCTCTTGTCTGATAATATTGTGACATTCTGCATGTAGAAACTGCAAGTGATCAGCTACCATCCTCTGTTGGCATTCATGAGTTACTTTGCCATATGAGCTGGGATTCAAGTACTTCCGACATCGCATTTCTTCATCTTTTAATCTACCTAAAACCTACACAGGAGAGTTTAAACTGCAAGTTGGAGAAATACTGACAACCTATATAGTACCAGAATATTCAATAGTGTATGTGTGTAGAATGAGAAACAAGAGTAAGTAACAAGAGTTATAAAAGAACTTGTGCAGGATGAAAAACTTAATTTGTTCTTCTGAATCAGGCTATTACAAATGAACATAATCGAGTCTGAGTACTAACTAGGCTTGGTCAGATGTCACCAGCATTCCACAGTCTTCATCTTGAAATTTCTTGTTCCCTTTAACCTTATGACTAGTCTTCTCCAATTTCTCTTACCATACTTCTTATTCCTTCTGAGACAATTTTACCACAATACCTAACAAAAAGAGAACTCCAAGAATCACTTTACTATTCTAAGTACATCTCCTTGTATGTAAACATCTGCTCAATAGGTACAAGAGTACATCTGAGCCATTAATAAAATATCTTTTTATAACTCAATGAAGGAAATAGGCTTAATCATAAGACAAGTTATATGAATACTGCCAATAAAAGCACTTACACTCTGTGAATATGAGGGGGGTCTAGGAAGCTGCAGACTGCCAATGATAGGCAGAACTGTTTTTTGTTTAGTTGAAGCATTCGCCTGTCCCTGAATTTCAATATAGGTGTGTAACCATCAACTTAAAAGCAACTTCACAGTCCTCTTCTCAACTCTTCTTTCTTGGTAGTGAGGACAGTACAGGACCAAGAACTAACTCCTAGTGTTGTATTAATCTTTGTTTTCTCAAACCATATATAAGAATTCCAAGTAATTTAACCACAACATAACTTCATACACCACAAAGCAAAATGAAAGAAAATCCACCTCAGAGTATGTAATTTTTAATAATGTTTTGGAACAACTTGTATTTTCTAACCACATATTGCTAAAACTCTAGTGTTACCTTACTCAAAACTGAAAGAAAATAAGGAAGGGAGGAAATAATACTAATCAACCTGATATATTTTATTTTTCTTTTTGACTTTTCATGCCATTGAGTCATAATTTATTATGAAATATTTTCAAAATGACTTTCCATCCATAGCAAGGTTTGTAATTAACGTTCAGATTAACCATGTCACTAAAAAATATGATTTCGATTACATAAAAGTGTAAAACACAAAGAACAACTATGAGAACTGTAAAGGACAACATGTATCATCAGTAAAATTATTTTAATTACTGCATATGCACTGAAGAATCTCTTACCTTCTCCATGTACTGTGAGCAATTTGACTCTTGCAATAAGTTCGAAGCTTCTTGTTTATAATACTCCCCTGTTTCATTCAGAAAAGGACACTCAAAAATTTCCTGATAAAACTAGAAGAGAGATTTTTTTTTTTAAAGGACATTAAACTAATGTATATACTAGATTGACATTCCAAATTAAAGATACATAATCAGAAATGTGTATCTACCTTTAGGGGGAATTTTTTCTTATACTGTTCAACATGAACAAAGGAGTTAATAACCCCATGGATTACTTTCTGGTTTGGGTCTTCTCCACAGCGATCACTGAAACAGACAAAGAAAACATTTATGAAAATGCAGATTTCTGGTGTAACTCATCTATAGCCAAGTGAAATAAAATTGGATGAACACATTTTCCAGTAAACTCCCCTGCTCAAATTGGCAAAATAAAAGAAGATTAATCTTAAAATAAAAAATGCACTTCTTTCTCTTATATACATTTAAATTGTTCAGATAGTTACTCATAAACAGTTCAAAAGCATTTAAAGGTTGTGAGATTTCCAAATATTTGCTAAGGATCTAAGTATTCCAAATTATATATTCTATGCAAGTAGTTTAAAAGCAACAGTAATTTCCATCTTGTATTTGTAGCCTTTATTACATAGACTACCTTTACCCTCTTCCTCCTTCTAAAAAATCCATCCTTTTTACCAGCACCACAACAATAAGCATGCTGTTTTCTTTTCTGAATATCTACTATTCAACATGTAGATTTCAAGTGGAATAAATAACACACCTGGCCCATTATGTCACAATATTTAATCATACAGGAAAGGAAAACCTTACATCTTCCAGTCAAGTTCTTAGCTTCAAACAAAGGAGTTGAAGTGAAGAAAATGTTGTCTTTAGTTCCACTCAGGTGAAAATAGAAGTAATTAAAATTAGTGTTTTAAAAACTAGTGTTCAGTCCTTTGCAAGGACTGGGAAATACCAGCACTCAAAACATCAGAGACTTCCTCCTAAGACATGAGAAGTTCTAAAATAATACCTCTTTTCATATGTACTTTGCTATTACATAAAAAATATTCTCTAACTCCTAAGGTGTTAAATAGGACCAAAATATGATTTGTGAAAGTATATTTATGATTAAGCATCAAAGACAAACATTACCATATACCCATCTAGGCTGGGGTAAAATGGGAGAGAAGTAATTTTGCAAATGTCATTTATTTTGGTTTGTAATCAGGAAAAACTCCAGAGGATGCTTATGAGCTGTGGAGGTTTACCAGGACAGCCCCACCAGCAGTCACTGTATTATGCACATCAGACCACCTTCATGTATTCACAACACTGTTAATCATGGATATTGCTTTCAAACACTACTGGTTTTCAGTTCTGAAAACTTAAGCTCATGATGGGTGTAAAGAATTAGCTGTCTTAATAGACAATGAACAGTCACTGTATGGTTTATGCAGCTTTATTATCCATTGCAAATTAACTGAACAGACGGGTTCCATCAGGGATGGTCTGATTTTCATTATCCATTACAAATGAACTGAACTGATGGGTTCCACCAGATATGGTGTGATTTTTGCACACAGGAAACAGGAATATTTCATCTGGTTGTGGAGCTGAACCAGTGGATTAAACCTGGGTTTGGGTACATGTAATGACACCCTGCACCCTTGCCAACATCTCTCTGCGGGGTCTGGTTTATGATGGCAGAGGCAGCAGCACAGAATCATAGAGGGGCCCAGGAGCATGAAGAGCTGCAGGATGCAGCAGCCTGTGAACACAGGGCTAGGCCATGTAGCATAGGAAGCCACAGAACTAAAAGCTGATCATAGTACAAATGGGGCTCTGGTAAGACACAGCCCAGCCCAGCTCCCACATGCAGGGCTCTGGACCTGGTACAGAAACACAAGCAGCATTACTGGAGGAACAGCTCAAGTCCCAGCTTCCCTCTGCTCAACAGGCCAGTTGACACCTTAGCCGATACATGTGTGGGAGGGGAGCGGGCAGCAATGGCCAGACCCAGGGGACTCAAAGGAACATTAGTAAAAAGCTGTATAAGTACAGGAGACACACTCCATGGAAGAGCTGGAAGGAAGGAAACACGCTTTTGAAGCAGAGGTCAGATGGCACAAAGGTAATAAATGAAAACAAACCCAGCACAGAAACAGGCTTTGCCTGCTTTCGCAAACATTTCAGGTTTTTATTTACACCAATGGCACCCTGCTCCCAGGAATGTGAAGTGCAAATGTCAACAAAATTTGGCAGAAGTTTTATGGACAACTTTCCCATAAGTTGTAGTAGTAAGAACAACTGCACACTAAAATGGAATTGGTGACCCTGCAAAGGTAGAAGTCTATGAAACGTTTATTTTCCTTCTTGGCAGCACTCAGCAAGCAATACAGACACATAAAGCTACAGAGCATCTGCAACACACGTTGAAGCAGGGATATCCTGTGATATCTTGGGTATAAGGGTATGATGACCTTTGGAAAGGAATCTGGATAAAAATATTAAGTGCTAGAAACACAAGTTCCACTAATTCAGGTGGTGACAAGTGTTGTTTTTTTTTTCCAAAGGAAATGAAGAAAGCTACAAAACACAAGAAAGTTGTGCTGATTTATATTAACTCTATCTTGTTCCTATCTTCAGGCTCAAGCTAAAGTGGATGTTCAACATGTATTGTACAGTGTATTACTACAGCCCCAAAGAACATTTAAAAAATTTCAGGTACAATAACTAAATATCAGATTCATTAAAAGAAATCTCTGCTATGTAGGACCAAGGGTTTTTCAAGGAAAATTACCTATAGAATTCATTGTGAACTTGATGAAACTGTTTCAAACACTTTTGAAAAAGTTAATTTCCAGTAGCTTTAATTTCAAACAAATGGTATAGATAATGCATCAGCTTAGACAGGAGTAAGTCCAGTTAGTTAGAAAGTGGCATTAGTAGAGAGGCCTCTCTCAGTTACTCTGTACTAATCACATTTTCATTTGAGATAGCACCTGAGCAATATCCAAATTATTTCTGTTTAAGAATTGCATGGATGAATTTTCTCACAATTCAAGATCTTGTCGGCTTCCTGTTGTGTTGACACAAAAATGCTTAAGTTGATATTCAGCTTTCCTTGTAGGAGGAGTGTTTGGGCTAGAGGAATTGGGATGAAAGCGTTGTACTTGGAACTCTATATTAGGAGTGCAGTCAGACAAGACAGGCTTAAGTGATTTAAGAATTCTCTGCTGTTCAAGGGGGCTGATCCTGCTCTCTTTTGCTCAGACACAGGCCTCCATTTGCTTTGGCACTCATCTAATGCTTTGCTGAACTGACTTATGCCAATCTGGTGAAACAATATCCAAAATGGTTTTCTGTCACATTAGCAGTTCAGCTGGGTCACTAAGGGACTAGGTGAGCACCAAATCTGGCACATGGAAGGTAGCAGAGGACAGCCTGCTCCTTTTTGGTGTCAGTAAACTCTTAGATAAGTTTAGCTATCTTGTTCAGCTGAGCCACAAGCCACTACGTGTATTTCTTTATTTTCATGTATCAAAAAAAGTTTATTGTAAATTTTAATGTATAACGTATTGCACAAGCTTATAGCTTCTAAAAGGTTGGCGTGCTCAAGGCTATAGTCAGGAGTCTTAAAAATCCAGTTAAATACATGGATAAAGTAACATTTGAAAGAAGAATTTGTGGCTCTGCTTCCCTACCTTTTTCATTACAAAGTAAGAAAGCTACTTTTATATGCAATAATTTACTACAGTGTTGGATATCAACTCCACATACTGTTGTATGCTACACAAACTTCCTGCCTAGAAGTAGTTCAACTGTCCCATCTACATTAATTTATTTTTTAAAGCATTGTAATAAATTGAACCATACACAAACAGCTACTATGAGGAAGGTCTACTGTAAATAGAGGGTTTTTTAAGCATATACATGTATTAGCAATTTTATTAAAACTTTGAAGTTATATTAATCCCATACATATTCTTGCAAGTCTGATAGATATAACTTATGGATATCCACCTTGTTTAATCCCTGAATTACTGAACTCAATGCTAAAAGGCATTTAAATCACTTGCAGTAGCGTCTTTAAAACTGCCTCTTAAAAGCTGTATTGACCACTGAAATTACAGCAAAGAACAGCAACAAGGCTGTTGTTACATGCAAAGGCCATCCTCAGAATCCCCATAGGGAGCAGTGCATTTCATGACAGCAGGAAAAAAACAGCTACAAGAAGTGGTTCTCTCTTATATAATTCATTAAATGATACACAGATCACAAAGTGGCTAGAAGAAACTTAGTGTGAATTGTTGGATGTATATTTTGAGAAGCAGAACGGAATTAACTTCTCTGAGATCATACAAAAGACTCCTTAATAAAAAAATGGGGGAAAAAAATCCCAATCCAACCACTAGAGAGCATGCCCAAAGTTTTATTTCAAAGCTTCCAAATAGTTTAGCAACAAATACTTTCAACTTGTTACACTCTCGAGATCAAATGCCTCTGAAACACTGCCTCCCAGTGACAGGCTTGATCTAAACACCCTGGGGCAATCTGCCTCAACCTAAACACAGACCATTATTTTAAGGGGCATCAGATGTCTGTTGAAAAAAGTTTTCATAGACATTTCTACTCCCACCCACCAGTGAAATATATACATTAAGTAAGACAAGTCTTCAGCAACACTATGCTTCATGTAGCAAAGGAGAATGTTCTTCACCATGAATTAGGGAAATCTCCATTTACTAAAAATAGTTTGAGTAAAAATGGATAAAGCACTATTAAGTCCTGGTTACAAAGGAACCATGAGTCAACAAGGGGAAGCAAATAAATACTTCCTGGCTTCAGAAATGCCATCAAAAAGAGACATCATATCCTTCCTTTACTTTGTTGTCCAATATGTAATTCAGGAATGAAAAATACAAATAAACTATTAAAATTAGGTTTTCAATGCCTTACAGATATTTTTTCTGACCAAGTGCATGTTCAAGGAACCTCAATCTGCCAAAATACCTCTCTCCTTCAGTTTGTCTACAGCAGTCTGGTCACCTGAGTAAGCGCTTAAAACAACCCCAGAGTTATCATAAACAGTGGTAGAAGTGCAGAAACTGATGAAACTTACAACTACACACAAGATCTGTAGTAGATCCCAAAATTTGTTTATTCATAAAATAGAAGATCCTTTAGAAGTTAATCAAATAAAAGTTTTAAATCAAAGCTTGAAAAATCTCAAGCGCTTTGGTTTTGTTTAGAAGTAGTAAAAAAAAAAAAAGATATTCATAAATAAAACAATAACTTTCCCTCAAACTACAAAAAATAATTATCTTCATTTCATTCAAGACAAACATGAAAAATGATAAGTGAAGGTACTGATCTGAAAAACAGAAACCCAGAAGCTTTTTCACTTGCAAGAATTGCTCTGGGTTCCATGCAAACACAGCTTCTCTGGCTTTGGCAAATCTCTGCCCAAGGCCTATTCCTTAACTTGACTGACAGCACAGAAGCTAAAGGTAGTCAGCATTAGGTGGAGAAAAAGGTAAAATGTATCCTATGGGACCTAGACAGTTATTCTAACTCCTGTTATCCAATTAATAAGAAGGGTTGCTGAAACAGAAAGATCATTATTCTGTGGTTACAGGGAATTCACTGCCTTTTTCTACACATGAAAGCCACAAACACACAGCTACAACAAGAAAAGCTGATTGACCATCATAATCAGAAAAGAAGTTACCTTAAAAAAAACAAACATAAAAATTGTGTAAAAGTCCACAGATTTTCAAAGTAAAAGAAGAAAAAGAAGTAAAAAAAAACCCACATTATGTTAAAGCAAGAAACAATCAAACACTCACTTTTTTATTTCTCGGAGGAGCATCCGAATAAGGATGGCCTGCAGTGGCTCAATCATTAATTTTCTCCACATATCAAGAGCTAGCTGTCAGGACACAACACAAGTTTATATCAATAAAAAGTACATTTAAAAAAAAACCTAAAAACCACCACACCAAAACCAGAACAGTACCAAAGATGACACAATTCCCCATTGAGGATTTTTAAAATTCAGTTGTTACATAACCTCTTCTTTCCCTACTTGGGCAGTATATGAATGCTGGCTTCCCAGCCTGCATTCTTTCTACACATCTCATAGAACTGATTCATTCCTTGGTTCTACTCCAAGTATTCTCAAATACATGTAAGGACTCCAAGCAAGTTGGTTACAAAGGCAGATTTTGAGACTACACATAAAAAAAACCATCTGCATGGCAATAGGTAAGTAACATACCTTTCTAATCAAAGTCTGAATGTGTGTAAACACCAGTATTTCTATCAATGATTGCAAAATGAGCCTCAGCTGACAAAAGGAAATTTCTTTTGGCCCATTTGTCAGAGGTCACAGTCAAAGATACAGAATCCTTTCATCCAACGCACAAAGAACATCTCGAAACTAAGATACTTACATCTTCAGCAAAGTCACTGGCAAGCTAACATTTGGCTTCTAATGGAATTCAAATCAGTTCAGGAATTCATCAATTCTTACAAGTGAAGCAGTTGCTCCCAAGGTACACCATTTTTAAAAACAGAATTGCAATAGTTCAAATGAGCTTTTGCACTTGAATCAAAGTCAGATTTAAAGCCCAAAAGGGATGTGATCCCTTATACACAGAGAATAATTGCATATAGGAGACCTACAAAAACACCTGCCAGGAAGTAGTAGACTGGAAAAAAATGAAACTGCACAGTTCAGTAAGGACAGAGGGAATATTGTTTCTAAGAAAGCTTTGATACAACTAACAGTTCACTAGATGGAAAAATTAAACAATCAATCAGGTATGCCTTAAATGAAAGCAGGTACATAGCTATCAACTGCCAATCTGACCCACTCTGTGAAATAAATCTCCTTTTTAAAAAGCAGACAAATGAACGTGCTCCAGCTGTCACAGCTATTCAGCATCCATGCTGCAATACAGGGTTAAGAAAGTAAACCTGACACAACTGCACCATAAGCAGGCTAAAGGAGAGGTAAAGGTTTGCTTATAAAGCCAAAGACAGATCATGTTTTGAAACAAAGTCATCTTAGGAGCAATTTTCACTGTCATGCCTTGTGGAGAGTAGTTGGAGGACAGTTAAATTTCTGTAAGACAACAGGAACTCATCCTGAATGAAAGAAGCCAGCTGAAAAAAGCCAGCTCTGGAGAGAGGGGGAAGAAAGGAAAAGAACTGATACATTTAGTAACTATGAGGTGAGGATAAACAAGCTCAAGTAGATCTCTTCTGAATGTGGTCTCTAGCATGGTCTGTCTCACATATGAGGCGGAAGCAAAGTCAAGTTGCCTATTGGAATTTTCCTGTCAAATAAACTATAGACAGATCAATCCAGCAACTTGATGTATTAGTTCAAGACAGCTTCTCCCACTTGAGGATAGGGACTGATCTTATTTCTCCAACTAGACTGGCAATACTGAACGTGGCAGTTTTCTCCATTTTCCAGAATCAGGGGAAAAAAACCCCAGAAGGCACATCTTAAATACCTTCTAGCTCAGGGTTCCCACAAAGCCATTGAAAACTCAGGAGACTGAAATCAGTCATAGGAGTTCAACTCAGAAAAGCAGTCTCCTTCACCATGCATTCATAACATACAGAGAAGAAAAAAGTAATCTCTTGCAAGCACTGGCAAACTACTTTCATTAACTTATCTCACCCTGTATATTTCCTACTACAACAATTACTGAATGTCTGAACACTTGTGGGGATGAAGAACTGTTTGAAGCTGTGCCCACACACCTCACACACGCACGTCTGCTCTCATGTACAGACCTACTGTTACACACCTCGGAAGAGCTGAGCAAGAATGGACTTGTTTAAGATTACTGAAAAGCTCCCAAAGTATTGTTACAACACAAGAATGACGTTGAGACAGAATCTTCAGAACAGAGAGTGCAGCTCTGCTTCTAAAAATACTGGGCATTATTTCTGTAACTTCACGCTGAAACTGAAGAGAACTATACATAAAATAAGCATGTTTGCCCTTGGGTAGATAAAGTCCAGATCATTTCAGTCATCTAAAATGGCATAAATGGTAGTTCATTCAATTTTAAAGTGATAAACAACAAATAATTTTACTTCTGCCAGAGCCCTTGTACAATCCAAAGAATAAAAGACAGAATCCTACATGAACCATAATGAAGGAGAAAATGCTTTCAAAACAAAGACTTGATAAACTTGCCAAGTTTAGGTCAAGAAATGGAGCTCATCTTGTAGGTCAAGAAATCTAGCAATGAATTCACCAATATAAAGCTGCAATTTAATATATGAATGTAGGACTCAAGTCTCCATTACTTTTCAGGACAAAGGGGTGATTGCCATAAACCTAAACCTACACCAGTTGTGAACAGATATTAACTTTACTGCCTTGAGATTCTTAAGAAAAGCTTTTATACTTTGTCACATCAAGAAATAGAAGCCTAAAAACTAATATTTAAAGGGCTTCAAAAACAAAAGTATACTGCTTCTTCAACATGTTTTCTAGATAGCAGTATCACTTAAGAATCTAAAGTTTATTTGCTAAGTGTTCCTATTATCACATTTTAAGCCCAGATTTTCCAACAGTTTTTATACTTGTTTTTTTTCCCTGCCAGGTCACTCTTATTTTCTACACCAAAATTGTAATCTCATTTTACAAGGAGAATAGTGCTTACATCTACAACATTTCTGTGACATAAAAGAGCAAAAATGTTTCAAAGGACAAAGCTGAACTAATAGCATTCTGAATACTGTTTCTAGCCAACCCTACTTTCAGAAATACCTACCTCTCCAATTTCCATCAAAGGTTCATTCATATCCACCCCTCCATAACCATACTGAAGATCAGCTTCAGTCAATTTGTTCTTCTTAATAAACTGTGTGTTGAGGTACCTATAGAAATAAGGACATCCTCATCAAAACAGGCAAAAATAAGAAACTTAAAATTAGGTTCAGAATTGTGGAATGTCTTCCATATCACAAAATATAACCTCCTTTAAACAATTCCACTGCTATTTGTAGAAAAATATTACAGTACAAATGACATTGAAAGAATTTACATCACATTGAAACAGTAGTGTTGGTAACAGAGATCAAACAGGATCCTGAAATATCACTGTCAGCATTTTCTTGGTGAACATCTTGTGTAAGAATCCAACCTTTCAACATGCACTGCTTATATACGGATACATGTATGTATGTATTTCTCATACATACACCTATGTGCAAAATAACTCCTAAACTCACTGATTAGTATTAGAGTGCTAGTAGTGTATTTTAATGGTAGAAAAACACTCCTACTATTGGATATTTTTAAGTTAAAAGTATTTCCTTCTACCTGGACTGTTTATGTGTTTCTCTCAGACTGAAATGGAGAAGTACTGCTCATTTTAACAGGGCAAACTTTTGTCTGTTATGATCCCTTATTCAGTTCATGATAACTAGCTAACAGCCAGATGACAAATTTTAAAGAGAAGAATTTTCAGAAATTATTTAAGTAACAGTTATAGAGAAGAAATGCCATAAATGTTATTTTTAAATTCAGTATTTACTACTGTATGCATAGTTTTTATAAAGAACACAAAATGTATTCTATACAAGACCTGCTAAAACATCCCTCTTGACTCTCAGTATTCCCATAGAACAAATACTGTAACATTTTTAAACAGAACCAATTCTTTCCTTTCCTAGATAACTGGGAAAAAAAATTCGAATATATTTCCCAACTACACTATTTCTTACATTAGAAATGCTTAAATGAGCCAACTGAAGAGTTTTTTTTAAATTTCTGATCTAAGCAGAAGTTTTGAGATGCTCAGTTTTAGACACCGAAAAGAGCCAAGTTACTGAAGCACTTTAAGAGCCTCAGAGGCTGCACCTGACTAGAGATGTCTGAACACTCTCGACATGAAGACAAAGGCCAAGCAAAGGAGAAAAGGAAGAACACACTGTGAAATCCTGTGAACTTAAAAGAATTTAGGACACCACAGAGTCCAAAGAAGGAAGATGTGTCCTAGTGCAGTGATGACAAACTGGAGTACAGCAGCTAGTTTGACACTCTTATGAGGTACTGTAACCATGAACTATAAATGCAGGCCTCTTTAGAAGGCTCCGGGCCCTCCATGTCATATCAAACCTGTGAGGACATTAGGAACACCTTGAACACCAGCCTTAAGCAGGCTCCTTGGTGGCATTTTCCCATCTTCCCCCATGGGAACAAAGCCAACAGCTGCCAATCTGCTTTTTCTCATTAAACTTGCTAAGAAGGAAAGCCCTACACTCTCCTCACTTACCCCCCACGCCCCCCCCATTAGTACATACAACAAGAGTAGCACGTAAAACTAAAAATTGCTATACCATGATATGCTGGTATTATTACGAATATTTCAAAGACAAAATGGAACAAAGCAAAAGCTGCACCATGTGTGTTTAGTTTTCAGGATTTTATTTGTAATACTTCTTTTTTTTTTCCTTTAACTGACTTAATTTCAATTTGCTAGATAAGAAAACTCTCCCAAATCACTTGAAATTAAAGTAGGCAGACCAGATCTTTTTGAAGTATCTATAAAACCAGTTACAGCACCAAAACACTGGTAATGCCTAACGTCCAGCATTGGTTTTATCTATTATTTTTACCATCAGAATGAAACAACAACCAAAGATGTTTCTTTCAATGTTCCTTATTCCATCAATTTTATACACTTGGTTTAGTCAAGCACATGTGGGATTTTACTTTCAAACTGAATCCACATTTGTCTTCCTAGCATAATGCACCAAGGAGGATGGGTAAAAAAACAAACCAAAATCAACACTGAAGAAAGAAAAGATTTAACTCGATTTCCAATGATATGATCGATCTCACATTTTAGGAATTTTGCTCAAAAATGCCTCACATTTGAGCAGTGTTTCAAGTATTGCCTATCAGGTTAGAATCAGAGATGCAAGCCTAATTAAGTTTTAAGGGAATCTATTTTAAAATAACTTTCAGATTACCACCTATAGACATTGATCAGTTTTCATTGCTGCAAGAATTATACAATCTAGAACCTGGAATACAAAAGAGTCAACTAAATTATGGTACTTTTTTCAGAGTATGCATGCAATAAGAAAAGAACACCAACTATTAATAAAAAGTAGAATATCTTGAAGCTTTGACTCAAACCGTGCTGGTTCAACTGCAAACTGCAGTACAGTGCCAACCTTGTAGAACTCCTACAATTCTGAGTTTATACACTGCTGGGTTGATTAGCACCAACACATTTGGCACTGCAACATCAAGCAGAATATATTAGTAATGAAAGAACTTAAGAAATTATCTTGGCTACTTACCTGCTGAGGCATTACTCCTTTTTTCTCATGTTCTGCTACCATAACTATATTCTCTCCAAAATTAACCTGAGGCATATTCATCTACTGCTCTCTTTAATCAACACTCTTCAACTTAACCAGCAGATCATGTTAAATTTCATGTTAATTTCAAAGGTTTAACAACTCTTTTGCAAAGCTTACCTGTATAAACAGTCCATATAGTCTGCCCCTTTGCTATACTCTTCCCAGTATCTGTGATACATAACCAGTACTTGTTCTTCAGCTTCCAGAACTCTCTGTGAAGGCACACATACCCCACACACCAGAATTAGTATGAAAATAGCACACACACTTAGGAAGCTATCACGGGATGATCATTTTGGAATAGTATTTGCATATTCAGAATCACGGCAATGACCAAAAAGCTTACACATCTTAATACTATCAAGTTGTGGTAAGCCAGCTAGAACACCTGGACTTGCTTTATTTTGCATATAAAAATAGCAGTCTCTCTACTGTATTGTTTTCTATTGATCTTTTCAGAAGTACCTGCTTAAATAAGCCTGGTTCATATTCTCACATCAAACTGGTGGGATAACTCACAGAACCATACTCTCAGTGACACAGATCAGTTTTATATTCACACAGCTACATGCACTGCACACCAGAACTGACCAACTGTAAAACCACTATGCCTTACTGGAGACAAGTCCTTATATGTACCAAGAATCACAGAATAATACAAGTTTAACAAAGCACAGACATGTATAAATGAAAAAAAGCATTAAAGTTTTTCAAATCTAGGCCCCAATCTTCTGAAATTTAAGCAAATCATTATCTGACAAGCTACTGAACTTCTCAAAATAGATTCATACTTCAGAGAAGTAAGTTCAACCATTTAAACTAATTTGTATGATTTGTGAGGGAAGATGAAATCCTAGGAATTCAACCTTAATTCTCTTTAGAGTTTGTCATTTTAAAATCTGGCTCCAGCAGCAAAGAAGCTCATGCAAAAAAGGGTAAAAAAATACGAAAGAGGAAAGTTGGTAGACAAAACAGAATTTTCCAACATTATTTCAGAGACAAGTGGTAGCTAGCCAATTTAAAAACTGGATGTATGCCTTCCACTACTTCCCAAAGCTTCCACTGTTCTGGCACCTCCCTGATTATCCTACATGAGCTTATTCATCTCATTAAATAAATGAAGAACTTATTTGGCAGAGTTCTGTGCTAGTTTAGTGAACTTATTTAGTCTGAGTGCCAGAATTAACCTCTCTGTAGCCAGTGGAACTGCCTGTTAAGATACCCAGTCTATCTTGTCAAATACTCAGGTACCTAAGCGTGAAGCCACTTAGCAGCACTATGCAGAATTTGCGATGCTTCACCCAATATAAAGACACTGAAAAGCATCTTATTTAAATCTAGTTCTCTTTTTACTGATATAGATGGAGGTGCCATACATCTGTCCTATCTACAAAACATGATGAATTATAATTTTAATGAAATTTGCTGTCTTAGCTGATGAAACAGAACTTAACACAGCTATATAGACATACAAATATAGTTGTCATAATAAATAATTTGCCATTATTTCATCTCCTCCCAAGTGTTTATTTCCCACATATTTCAGAAGGTTTATGTTTATTTTTTAAGAGAGTATATACAATCAGTTTCCAAGACACTAGAGCAGATACATTTATCTTGAAACACAAGTCTAATGACAAACTACAAACACTTGCAAAATGAAGATGCTTCTCTAACTTGTTTGATTATAAGCATTCAATGTAAAAGAAAGAACTTGCTTTTCAAGCCAATGACACTATTGCATAAACCATAACTGTTGGCTTAGAAATAAAATTATTTCTTTTGTGTTGCAAATCAAAAGGTATCTATAATACCTGCCTACATTTGTGTCCATGTGGTGACATGTGTTATATATATTTCATATATACAAGAATTGTGTCTCTGCAACTCTGTCATCTGTGATTTTGTCTCATAAAAACCTATAAAAAGTCAAAAAAAGGATGAAGAACACCTACATGGACATCAGTAACTGTACAGGTTACCTTGTGCAAATGGCGTACATGATTCTCCAAAAAAATTTTAGTCTCAGTATAAAGTCTCTCTCCAAGAGGTTCGGGATAGGCCACACACAAAGCATAAATGTCTCTGGGCTCAAAGTCAAGGTTTGTAATTAAGCGTGAAGACAATATAAACAAAGTTTATGATTTACAGAACCCTTTCTCCTCCCCACATGCAGTTTAGGTTTTGGGGTTTGTTTTACATCAAGCAAAAAAGATAAAATGCATAATTTTCTGAAATTAGTGTAAGTATTGGCTTGTGCAGAATCCAAGTTTACAGCATCAATATTAAATTTTAAATACTGAATACTTAGGCAGTATTAGAGCTAAGATCTTGAAACTTCTCATAGCCTCATACTGATGTGGCTTCTACCCTTTATTTGCCATGTATAATATACAATAATCTCAAGGTGAAAAAGCAGCTTTCATGCACCATTCTTCTGTATTTGCAGCCAGCATGAACTGAAATTCTTCTCATATAATGGAAAGGAGCACTAATTAGATCAAGAACATGATTAGTTAAGTACATGGTGAAGCAGACTTCAATTTCCCTTCCTGGAGTCCAAAATAACTTACTGTCCCTGCATTTTGCCCTCACCTCCACAGGTAAAATAATTTCAGGGGACACTGAAAATTAAATAATCACAATGGTAGTGTGGATAAAAAAGAAGTTTATATGCTTTTTAAACATCACAATTTCAGTAATCCTGTTAGATCACAGCCACAAAAAACAGTTGAGTTGCTAATTTAACGGGGCAGCAGCAACATGTAAAGCCACCTTTAAGGTAGTTTTGTCCCTAAACTACCTTGCAGAGCTATACCTTTGGTTTGTATCAAGTTTTAAGAGTAACTTGGGGAAGAGAAGTTATGACTGAGAATTTTGCTTTCAGAAAATTCAAGCAAGGATTAGGTCAGGCTTCACATGAACAACTGCGGGAAATAAACTAAATCTGCAAAAATTACTTTAAAACATGGCTTAACCACTAAACCTAGGCACTTTATAGAGCCAGCCATAGTAGGAATCAATAATTTAGCATATCACTTCAATCAAGGGAAGACACAAGATCTGCTTTCCTCTAGTCTACCCTAAAAAATCATATGCCTGTGTGAAAGGAGGCAGAAGACAGACAGTGGAAGAGTCACCTGCTTAATCTACAGAACAGTGTCAAGCTCTCATCACACAGCTTGTCCAAATGCATGTTTCATTTTTTATATGGAATTACTACTCAAAACAAAGAAGATTCTGATGCAGGAGAACTAATTAGGAAAAAACCCTTTATCTGGCAACTGTAATCTCAGAGATCCCCAACCAGAATCTAATCTTGAGTACATTATTTCACTCATATAGATCATCTTTGCTAGAATTCTCCTTAGAACAGCAAAGTGTTAAATGAACAAAACATTTTGTTCTCCTTAGAACAAAAAAGTGTTAAATGGAAACACTGTGAAACAAAACAGGCAACATCCACTGCTTTGTAACAGTAGCAGCCAATGCAATATACCATCTTGTAAAGTAATGACCAATAATATACCAAAACAAACTTCCAAGCATGCCTTTCCTTATTCTAGAGAAGAAATTTTCTTACAAATGAAGAAAGCTGAATCTAGTACTCTTCCTTGGTATTTGCCACTGTGTTCAATATCAGCAGATACACAAACTAAGAGCTTAATCACAGAAGCACTTGAACAGCACCTCACCCTCCTGTATCAACTAAATACTACTTGCTGGATATCAGGTTTCTCTGGAATTATACAAAAGAAAAGCTATCATGAGACTGAAATATATCTGACTGTAACAAAGCTGTTCTTTCTTGCTCAATTTGTACTTGTTTCTTTATCCATTTTATCTTTGAGTCTAGAATCCAAATTTGAGGGTCATATTAAAAGTGTTGTGACCCTCTTAACAAAAAAAAAAAATCTCTGACATGAAATTAATCCTTAATCATCACTGGTATTTTACTCCATAAACTTAAAGCCTATTTTTCCTGTGCTGCTGTCCCATCAAACAACAGGAAGAAGCCTTCACTGTTCAATAATTTATCTTTAATGGTGAAAGCCATCTGTTCTTCAAGTTCAGCATGCAGTTTTGCAGGGTGAGAAAGGCCAGAGGAAGCTGTAGCCAAACTGCTGCCTAGGGGCCTTCACTCTGTATTGAGAACAAGAACATCAAAACCCTTCTGTGACTTAAGTGCTTTGGTAGTTGCTATTTGAGGGGCATTACCCAGCAATGGGAAACGGAAGCACTTCCAAACTAAGAAGGAACAACAACAAAATTACTACCAACAAGAAAATGCTATATCCAAGGCTACAAAAACTCACAAATATTGTCCTCGGGGTTTAAAAAGCACCTAGTTCAGACTTCTCTAGGCAACTAGTGTAGAGCTTTGGGAAAATTTCTATTCATCAATCTTCTGTAACAGAACCAAAATTTGTAGAGAATTTCAAGACTCAGTCAGAAAGAATCATGACCATATGAACTTTATTTACTCTTCCTTCTTGGCCAGTTGTCTCTAGAGATGCATGTTTAAGTTTCTGGTTCATAATAGGGTCCTTGCAAAACAGTTCATTAGAGGAGGCAGAGCAAACTTAGAGAAAAAAAAAAGGTGAAAAAAAAGCAGATAGTCATGCTGCATACTTTAAAAATAATTCTGTTCAAAGCACAGCTGTCCCTGAGTACTGTTGACCTTATTTTAACTTATTGGGTAGAAATCCCAAGACAACACAGGAAGAGCTTGATGTTCTACCTGTTAAAAAAAGTTCTAGGTAAAAGGCAGTTACCAAAGTATAGAGGAACTACCTACCACTCTCTAACCAAGCCTTAACTTTAAATCACGTCTATGCCTACTGAACAGCCTTGCAAGTGATACAATGTGTTCACAAGAACACCCCAAACAGAGACATAACTGTCACTCATTTACCAATGAAACAAGTTCATACACATGTCCTTCTAGAGAGAATCTGAAAAGGAAATCTGAAGGTCAAAGGTGGCTCAGGATGACTCACATTTTAAATAAAGTGACATATGGTCTTTCAGGTGATCTTTTCCACCACAATGGTTCCCAGCTCATTGCCATTCTACCATTGCAAGTATGAGGTAAAACATTTATTTAAAGATAAGCCATGTTTAACAATAAAATTACCGTAAATTACAAAGGAAACACAATATTAAAGACAAGTTCTGGGAACTAGTGGGGCAAAAAAATAGTTCTAGAAACGGAATATGTGCAGTACAAGCCTGTTATCCCTAAAATACTTTCAGCTTCCATATTCCATCGGATCTTAACTGCCCCAAACAGCACAAGGGAAAGTTAACACTTCGTAGAATACACTGATGCAGATTGAAACAGTGATTGCTTCCTGTATTTTATCCTTTGTTTCCACATCACTCTGTTAACTATACATACAGTACAAAGATCAACTGATACTATCAATGAATCAATGAAATTTTATTTATTGGATTTTATTGAAACAGTTCAACTAATTTGCCATCTTTATGTTGTGCTGATTAAGCAATTAAGAAAAAGTTAATAGAACATTTCCTTTATAATTGCTTTAGATGTTTAGAAACATTACTCCAATTAAATTGAATTTAAGAGAAAATAAATACAAGGAACAAGATGACGTATTTTTTAAATGCCAATTTAAATTTATATCCTTAATATCTTAGTCTTCTTTATGTATAAAACTTGGAAATAGCTTTTATTCCAGCTGTATAGAACTACCAGTTCCACCAGGTTGTTGAGCACTCATTGAGCAGCTTGTGTTAAAACACAAAGTCTGGTTACAGAAGTACTCTGGAAGCAGAAGTACTCAACAACCAACATTCAAGCTGGAAGTTACACAAACTCCTTTGGCCATTCAGTCACAGACAATAAGCCAAAAGGCTCATGCCCGTGCCAAATCAGACACTAATAGTGCCACTTTCCAAGGAATATAATTAAGAGATGATACTAAGTAAGGTCTTAAGAATTACATATCAAATGTTTATTCCAAGACTGCTTCCTGAGTCTGCTGTTCATAAACAATCCTTTTCTGATGTTCAATCAACTGGACTGAATCCCAAAAGAGGATCAACAGCAAACTTGTGTGGAAGGTCTCCACATAAGAAGTTGTAAGCAAAACAGTGTGACGTGGAACCAATACAACAGCTCATGTGACAATTATTTTATATTTAAATGTATTTTAGATACCCTTGTTTAAATGTTTAAAGTTTTAAGCTACAGAATTTAACCACTTGATAAAGACTGAATTATGTAATCCTCAAAAACTGCTTAGAAAGAATGACTACAGAACAACTTCTCAGCATGTAAGTACCCACCTAATTAGTTCAAATTTTTTTTTAAATTCTAGAGTCACTTGAACTTGACTTCAGTACAAGGTCATGCCCCCAGAAATTAATTACAAATTTTTTTTAATGAAAGAGCTCTTAAAGATTATTACACCACAAAAAGTCTCTACAAGAACTAGGAGCTATGTACATATACACATGCACACACTCAAAACACAGGCATGTGGGCAAGCAATTCTGAGAAATGGTTAACATGTTCAGAATGAGATGAGACTTTAGAGTCAAGCTCTGACCCACAGAATAAGCTTATGTTGTAAAAACTTATGTCTAAGCATCTTCTCAGGTGCTTCTTTTTTCACCCACAAGAATTAACAAATAAATAAGTCTAAACAATTCTTCTCCCTCGTAGTTAAACCAAACTATGACCAACCCCTGCAGAAGAGGTGCAAAGCCTCCAAAATTCTCCAATTATTCACCACAATGAAATGGCTAATGTCAGGGCACAGTATAGCTGGTTAGAAACGTTACACTTCTTTTAAAAGAAGGTCACTGAAACTTAAATCTTGTAAAATATTACAGGTCCATTTTACATGTAGAACACAAACCTTTCCACTACAACAATGTATGTACAGTTGTGACTTGAATAGTAAGACCATATGAATGCAGAAAGAGTAGTAATTCTTAAACGTAGCTTAACTGTCACAAGTAATAAGGCAGTAACAGAGGAGGGAAAGGAAGAAGGCTTTTTAATATATCCTTGCTATGGAAATGACTAGTATGGTAGCTATCAGTAGAGTTAGAAATGCAAAGAAGAGGGAGAAAGGTTTATACAGAACAATCTCAACATCCCCCACATCTCAAATTTAAAGATGTGCACTCTCTGTCCTGGGTATTTCCCCTGCTGCACACAAACACTTAAACATACAAGAAAATCTCAGTGTCAGAATAGGGGACACTCAATACCTGCAAAAACAGCTTTAGCATAAGCTAAGTATTATAGCTACCAAAAGTGACTAGAACTGAGGCTAATTAACTTTTTATCAGCATGGTGATTTTCACATAGAATACTTCCCAAATATGCAGAATTTCCCATCCCTTTCAATTTATTCACAGGCCTAATAACAGGTACAGCCTAACAACAAGCTGCCCAGGATCACTGTTGCATAACACAGGTTTACCCTGTGCTAAACACATCACACAAACACATCAAGTCAGATTTTTCACTTAAAGGATACGAGAAGCGATCATTCCACGTTGCTCTTTCAACATAATCCAACATCACAACAGCTTTAATCGTTGTTAGAAGTTTGTTCCATGTTTCATCAAAGTCAACTACTCGTGGTTTCAAGGACATTGTGGGGCTTTAGTGTTAATCTGTAGAAGAATTAAACATGTCAGACAACATTGCACAATCATTAAAAAAGTATACACTTCCTTTGAATTTTTGAATTTAAACTTTGTACACTGTTGCACCACTATGATACAGCGACACAAAGAACACCCACCTCTTCCAAAATGATTCCACAATTCCTCATTTTTAATGCTTTGGAATAGAATATGAATGTTGCATAAGTAGCCTATAACTTAATACCAATTAATCTAACATCATCATACTTTGTGAAGTTCATTATCTCACCAAACTATTCATTTAAGAGTGTCCCATGAAGAAAACAACTTTCCTGTAAATTTTGATTTGTTTACTTTTATCAAAGACTGTTTTAACTGTATCTAAGAAAATTTGGGGTAAGAACAAACTAAACGATTACCACAGTATCTGAAATTCCTACTGTCAGTTTGTAGCCTGTGCTCACCTCAGGCTTTCATGAGACATTTTTGGTTTTACATTTGAAAAGCCACAAAACCCAAAAGCTTTGATCAGGATGTGAAAAAGAAAACACAGGGCAATATGCAGAGCCAGGAAAACACTGATGCCTTTCAAATAAGACATGGCTTGAAAATACAGAAGCTGTGATAGTTATATCCTATCAAAAATAACAGAAGAGATTTATTGAGAAAAAAAAAAAACACTCAACATTAAATTATCTAAAAACTAGGGGGAAAGTAAGGTGATTTTAAAAAGAGACAACTGTGAAGGTCTCATTTTCACTAATTTAAAAGGGATCTGATGTGTGACATTCCATGCACAAAGCAAGTCTAGTTGCTGCTCAGAAACATGACATTGTAAGACTACAATAAAAAATGGAAAGAATACTTCTATTTCCATTTCAAACAGATGGACAAGTGACTCTTGTCTTTCCAAAATTTCAAGGTCAAAAGGGAAAGTAGAAAGCTGGTGACAGACTTTGAGAACAAGAGGCAGACCTCTGTAAGGGAAAGAATGAAATGTCATGCTAAAAAACTATTGAGCAACTAGCTTACTAGATTAACCACTACTGGCTCTTACAGGATATATCACTTCTCAGTTTAAGAAAAAAAGCAGTTAAATCAGATGCAACTTTTAGCATGCATGCACACAACCCATCCCCATGACTAACCAACCAAGCTCCTTAACTGCTGTAAATGTTGTGGTATTTGTAACTTGGCTATTACTTCAATCCATTTATGTTAGCAGGAGTTTACACAGAAAAATCAGTGAGAATTGACAAAACAAAGATCCATCAAGTAACGTAAGCTGAAAAACACACTGATGTATGTTTCACAGAAACATGAACCTTAGTAGAGGCAGACAACAGCTCACTTCCAGGATGGGAGGGGAGAGGGGGAAGTGGTAATCTTCAAAAAGACCAAATACCCCTCTTATGGAAAACACAAGATCATTTCCAGCTGACCCCAAGAAAAAATAATCATGGTCCACAAAAGACACTAAGAATCATAATAACTGCTTCTGTTAATGAAGCTGTACTTGTGTTATATTAGAAGTTGCTGTCTTGGAAACACAGGTGGTACATCCAAGAGAAAAGAGCCCTTTCTTCAAAGAGAAGCAAAACCGAGGGGAAGAAGGAAGGGTGAAGGAAAAGTCCTCACCACAGTACATCCCAATGTCATTAAACGTGTTCAGGATGATTAAAACCTAATAATGTGTAAAGCATCCACATGGTCATCCAAGTATTCCGGAATTAAATTTAAGACAGATTAAATTAATAAGTTTAAGATAACTGTTATTTGGCATTCTCTTACAACTTTCATGGAAATATGAATTTAAGTATGTTTTAGAGATATTTTAACAAGTATGGTATAATTTTTACTATAAGACACTGGACTTTTTGGGGCATGCTGTGCTCCAGTATCAGCGATGCAAAAGCTCACCAACTTTGATTATTAGATGTCTTGTATTGATCACGGTAAGAACCACAGGAGAGCAGAATATCTACCCTAGGGTTTAGACTATTCAGGGTGTGGGAAGCCATACCTGTTTGATAAGCCTTAAGGTAAAGAGATGTTATTGAAACATATTTACTCAGTAAGATAATAAAAGGATGCCGCTTCCATCGCCTCATTCTTTAAAACACACCACTGCCATACAGCATATATTTGTTCACACAAATAAGCACAGCATTCTGTCCAGTATCAAAGAACGCCCCAAATTTCCAAGCTATTTAACCACCTCCATAAGCAGTATTACAAGTCCGTGGCGGGCGCGCAGACAGGGGCAGGAGCACTCGCGTCAAACAGGTGACCAGTGCTGCCTCCCACGCCCGCTGCCCACCTCCCCCTCCACCAAAACAAAAGCGAAACTGGCTGAGGGCGCAGCCAGCGGATAATGAGCGGCCCCGCCGGAGAGGCCGCACCGCGCCCTGCCCGGGGGCAAGGGCAGGAGCCGGGGCAGGAGGCGGCGGGCGGGCGCTGCCGCTCAGGCACCGCCGGGGATGAGGCCCGGGCCGGGGCAGCGGCGGGGCCGGGGCCGGCCGGGGGCAGGGCCCGATCGCCCCCGCGCGCAGCCGGCGGGGTCGGGACCGCCACCTCCCTTCGGCGCGGCGCTCCCGCCCTCAGCGCGGCGGGCCGGGCCGGGCCGGGCCGGGCGAGGGCGTTACCTGGCGGCCCGGGGCCCGAGTCAGCGACCCCCGCCCGGCGTCCCTCGCTCCTGCCCTCGGCCGCGGTCGCTGCCCCGTTCCGTCCTCACAGCGCTGCCATTACCCAAAGCCGCTCGCGCCCCGCCCCTCCGCCGGCGCCGCCACTGCCGGGGTTGGGGCGCGGCCCCGCGGCCCCGCTCGGTGCTGTCGCCGCCGCGCCGCCGCCTCACCCAAGGTGCCGCCACCCCCGGGTTCTCCCCGCTGGGCTTTTTCCGCCGGCCGCGGGGCGAGCTGGGGCCGACGGGTCCCGGCGCTCCGTCACTTTCCGATCGCAGCGTCCCCCGCCGGAGCAGCGGGGTTTGGTACAGCCCGCGCTGTACGGCGAGCGCGGGCGGCCGCGCTTCCCAGCGGCGGGGCGGCCCCGCGCACGCGTCACTCCGCCCCCATGGCGGGACCGCTCTCGGCGCGCCGTCCCGCCAGGGACTCGCGGGGGACGCGGGCTGCAACGGGGCTCTCCCACGGGCGCGGCGTTCCCGGGCTCCGTGTCAGGAGGTCGCCGCTACCTCAGACGGTGGAAGTGTTCCCGTCCCGCCGCCGGACCCCAGCAGGGAGTTTCCCCAGCTTCCAGCACCCTGCTCGGGTGCGGGACGCCCCGGGCAGTGCCTCGGCCCCGGCTGCCTCCGCCGTCCCCTCGGGGCCTCGGCGGAAAGCGGCGACGCGGGGTTGTTGGGTGGGAGTGACAAAGCGGAGTCGCTGCGGAGGCCGAGCCGCCGGGCCCCGGCAGCCCAGCGCCCTGCAGATCTGCTTCAAAAAAAGCTAAAAAAACTAAAAAAAGGAATCATTTAGAGCACATAGTGCAGCTCTCCGTCAGAGACAATAGTCTTCTGGAAAACAGACATTTATTTCTGAAACTTCTCTATTGTTCAAACTACTCAAAACGTCAAAAATAATTATTTCTGTTTTCGAATCAAGCCCTTGCCCGTTTCATTTCCATAAATGAAGTTTTATATTTTTTCCATAAAGCTGGCAGCTTTATCATTAAGCCTTAATGTTTTCCTTTGTGTTCTCTTTTAAAATTATTTTTATTAGCTCCTTCTAGACATTTTAGACACTATTTCAACTTTCTCTGTTTTCACCGTAAACCCCTTTATTTTTCCATTCTGTTAATTTAACAGAAACTAGCAGAGTTTAAAGCTCTTCTATTTGCCGGGGGGGCAGGGAGGGAAGTTGTAACTTTAAGCTTTTGGGTGCTTGCTATTTTCTACAAGTGTTGGATTGTATCTGGGGCACTTTCTCATTTTCTAATATTTTCACATTTTAGTAGTCTTAGCCACAAGTTTGTGAGCTTAGAAGTTCAAATATATGCTGGCACAATTTAATTATCCTGTTTAATCATGCTGTGTGAATGTATTAATTGTACAAGATCACATATCACAAGTTAGACTGCTGCTAATGAAAAACATCCTTATCTATACGCTGCCCAAACATTACACAGTACATATTTTCTAAATTTCTGTTATATGAGGAAGTTTAGTCCTGAGTTAACAGTTATAAACTGGAAACAGATACAGGAAATGAGGTATTTTCAAAACTAATCATTTGGGTTGTTCAGCATGGAAGAATCACGTAGCAATTTTCTGAAATTATGAACATTCACAGTAAGCACAGACTTTAATTAGGTACCAAATCCTCAACTATTCTGCACACTGTTCTACAAGGCTGCAGTTGAGGAAGCACAATTAGGGAGTCACAATTCAGAGGAAGAACATGAACATTACTGCTTTTATGTAAGATATTTAAAAATTGTTCTTGGATTTAAATATATTTAGGAAATAATTCCTACTTAAGTCACAAAATTTTAAAATCTAGATATCCTTTTCATCAAGTTTCTTTGTCAATGGTGTCCAGAGAATCACCACGTGAAAACACAGACCAGGTGTTTCACAGAATGGGGCATTGCAGGAGTCTGAGATGAGCAAGCAGAGAGCATTACTCTGTGTGTGCTACTAAACTCATCTTGCCACTCCCACAGTGCTGCCTACACTTCAAAAGAACAAAGGTTCTTATGCAGATGTAATGTATCTGCCAAGAGCAAGACTAAAACTTGTGTGTATACACCAATGCTTTATGTGAGTGGATATGTGATTTATGAATCAGTGAGTTCCTACCTGCTAAAGCCCAGATCATCTGAATTAACATGCTGTGCAGATGTGCCCAAATAAGCCAGCAATGAAAGTTGCCATTTGGCAAAGCATGACCCATTAATGGTGTCCTCATCTACCTCAGTCATGTCTTGATGCATTTCTTGATGACAGCAGATGTGCAGACCTTTAAATCCTGTTTGACTAAGGCTTAGTGTTGTCTTTCAGCAGTTGTAGATAGAGAAGACACAGATGGGGAACAGATGGAAATTCTGGGAGTTTTTGCAGGATAGTCCTATGGAGAAGTCAATTTCTTCCCAGTAAATTCGTGCTGGTTCTTTATAGATTGTTGATTACAGTAGTGAGTGACACAGGTTATTTTCTACTACATGTACATACCACCTTAAAACTTTGCCACCACATACGCAAATTTATGTTTCTTTGATTACATCTGCTACCCAATCTGCTCACTGTCCTAACCAGTACTGGAGTATTTCCTAAGTTCCCCCATTGTTTACATACAGTTTTCTCTTATCTGATACTTCGGTTTTTCTATTTACATTAACTTGTTTTCTTTGCCCTTATGTAATTAATTCTTTTGGAAGGAGCTGTCTATTTTGTTTATGTTGATGCTACATCTAACACTATTATTCTGGTACAGAACTAGGAATCCCACAGCCCCGAGGTGATGCAAACACTGTATTAAATGTGCCACTATATCACCTAATGCTTCATGTAAAAGCTGGTTTAGAATGCAGTCGGAACTGATACTGAGTATCCACATTCCCCACCACCACCCTCTCATCTGCAAATGTCTTCCATTATACTATCTGCTCTTCTTGTCTTTGATTTAAAATCCTATTTTTAGAGTAACATATTCATTAGCCTTTTTCATGTAGAAAATGAGAATATTGACTGGATTAATTATGTTTTATTCATGTTATATTCAATTTACTGGATGAGTTAGTCTGCATTATTGATGCAGATAATAATACAAATTTTTAAAAATAATATTTTGCTTCTGAAAGCAAAATAAATTAAAGTAAGAATGGACCTTTATTTCATTATAGATATTTTAATCTAGACTTTTATTGTGGGTATTTGTCTTTCATATGGTAATGTGCAAAATATATGTATAAACTGAACAAATCCTTTGTGATTATAAAAATATGCAGTATTTAAGTATTAAGCAATTAAGTATTATTTTTGTAATTTTTTTTTTAGGTTTATGAAGAATTTAAAATGTGTGGTTATTTAATCTGCTTTAATCCCTTTAATTTTAAGAAGCAGATGCTCACTGCACTCCTGGCCACAAGATGTCAGTACTGAATAGATTAAAAAGTAGCAGTTCAGGAGTTTCAGCTTGCACAACCTACAAAACCAACAAAACCCACCCCTTTTGTCCATGAAATAGGAAATCTAGCAAAAGTTGAACTCTCTCAAACAACATTTATTAGTTAGCCATCAAGTGTTTAGTTCAACTCCCAGATTTATTCTATCCTTCCCCAGGACTGCTTGGAAAAAAAATTGCAAATGTAATTTTTTTTCCTATCTATTATTAAAAAGGGGCACCAATTTATTTTCATGTCATTGTAGTTAAGAAGTTATCTGTCTGAGCAAATCTAGTTATTCTTTCCTTTTTTTCCCCAAAAAATTTCTAAAAAATATTCTGCAACATTATTGACAAGCAAAATCATGTATTTAGAACTTGTATTTAGAGATCAATGAGCTGCCAAGACAAGCAAAATCATGTATTGACAAGCAAAATCATGTATTTAGAACTTGTATTTAGAGATCAATGAGCTGCCAAGACTCTATGATGCAATTACTGAGCCTAAATGATTTTATTTAAAGGAATTTTGAGATATTAAACAGCTATGAGGTATCAAAAGAGTAAAACATTCTGGAGCTTTTGTGTGTTCAGTTACAAGGTTGTAAATCCTTTCCGTTCAGTAAGTGCATCAGATGCCAACGGCTCAGTACTTGCTATGTGCTGAGTGAACCAGATATAACAATTGACCAACAAACAAGCAACCTGGCATGAAAGAGGTTTCAGTGTTCCTATTTATCATATTGCTTATCTAAGCATTTGAGAAAAGAATGCAAAAAGCTTCTAAAGAAGCTATTAGGTTCTCTAGCTTTATTTTCTGAATTGTTAAAAATGAAGGAGTCCTGGCTGAGACACCATATGGGTGGGTTTGTGTTAATTACTGGGATTTTGCTTTCAGGTTTAATTTGAATATGAAACTACCCCTGAAATTTACTCTAGTAAATAAGCTAGTTTGTAGTTTTCATGCTTTAGCTTGTATACATAAAATCCCAAAGCTAGTACGGGTTAGGGAAGTGTGGTGCCACAGCTGAGCACATGGAACTGTTCAAATATCATCACTTGCTCCTGCTGGTGGAAATGAGAGAGAGAGCCATGAGAGGATGCTGCACACAGGGGAAGGGAAGCTGCAGTTCCAAGGTGTCGCTGTCGAGGTAGGACGGGAATGAGGAGACTGACTCAGAAGGCTGTAATACTAAAACTCTGATTTATTCAAAATACACCGCTCTTTTATACAGAGCTCCACAAGGACCAAATCCATTGGTTCTGAAGTGAAAACAACCCACAGCATTGGTGCAGAGTGTTTGACACACAGTGATAGAACTTAACTATAAACAATGTGAAAAACAAGAAAGATAAAGCATTATTTACATTCTTTCCCAGCTCTTTCCCAGGCTTTTTGCCTGGCTAGAAACTCAGTTTCTTTCTTTGACTGAATCTGACACCCACACCAAGGAAGTTCTGTTACGTCTACCAGGTCATGAGCCAGGAATGTATTTGTTTATAGTACCAGCAATGAACCAAACAATATTCTAAATGTCTCCCCTTTTGATTCAGAAATTATGCAATTATCTTCAGAAAGTGGTTCAGGTCCCTTTTAGCAGTGCCTTTTAATAAAAGGCCCATAGATCATGTGTACTTAGATGTGTACATAGATGTGCACTGCTGTACAATCATTTTTAAA